TGAGCAGAGTTGCCAGATTGATTCATACGAGTAATGTGAGAGGAGAAAATGCTCTAAAGAGCAATGAATATCATCTATAAATATAGTTTATGCAGCTAGAAATGTTTAAGGGTTTGCTTAAGAGAATTGAAAGTGTTGCCAGACTGTTAAAATATAACAAAATAATTATATCAGCTGCTTTAAATGGTGGAAATATTAATCCCTTAGTTACTTTAACTAGTGAGAGAAACAAAATTAAGAGAACAAAATCTGGAACATTTACCAGATTGCCAAAACTCAATTCGACTTCACAATACTTCAAACAGAGCTGCCATATATAAAATGGAATGGGTTTTTAATAAAAAGAACTTGGAAAAATATTTAAATTACCCACAAATTTCCCTATGAATTGTTAAAGTATATTCAAACAGTGTTGCCAGACTGTGAAAATACTTTTAAAAATATACAACCTTTTGCATAGCCAGTAGATGCAGTTAAATGGGCCGAAACGTATGTTTATGTATTTATAGTAGTACCTTAGAGCACCTCTGTCTATATAGGCAATCAAAAGTAAAACATATTATAAATCACACGCTGGTGTTGCCACATTGAGTGCAGCCAATGGCTGCAGTTAGGTTAAAAGTTTCATTTACCTTCATCGTAAATCTCAACCAACTGTCAATTGCTCGAGTTCTATGGCACAATTCAGTGAGTGGTTCTTCATAAATCTCGGTAGCTGCCCCGGAGGCGGCCTACAGAGCCAACCGTAGATTACCCAACGCTCGAACAAAGTTCTACAGAACTTATCTGGCGTGTCCCCATAATTGGCTACAACTAAAATTACAAAATCAAGTATTTTTCGAGCTGATAAAATAAAATAAAACTTTTCGGTGTGTGTACATAAAAATCAGATTAAACAACTCGATATAGCATGTGAAAAGCTAAAGCCGCACTCAGATAACTCAGTGAAGCGAGTGCAGGCGGGAGAGCGCCCACAAATTGAATCTAATCGTGCGGCTATCTATGTGTAATTACAATTAACTGAGCGAGGGAGAAACTAACGAGCAAAAAAGATAATGAAATATATGTATATACATATATACAGATATATAATGATTGTGTGGGCCGAGATAAGCTGGGCGACGGCAGGTTCATGTGCTCGAGCAGGTGGGGAAATGTGCCAGATTGGGTAGCCATTGCGGTAGCCCCCAAATACAGTTGCCCATTTTGGTAATCAATCATTGTCAATGCCGTCAGTCGTTGCTGTCAATGCGGTTAAGGGTGCAGGGTGCAGGGTGCACGGGGTGGGCTGCAGGGGCTGGTTGCATGGGCTGACAGCAACTTAAATTGCTTACAACTATGTGAAACTAGGGGCTGAAAAGATCTCTTAAATTGTGCGAGTGAAAGGCGAAGGAAATGAAAGGAGAAAAGTCGCTGGGAAAAAAGGGAAAATGAGGCCAATGTATGGTGGCAGAAACTAATAAAAATCAAAAAGAAATCAAATTAAATAAGCAACAACAACAGCAACAGCAACGAAAGAAGAAGAAGAAAGAAGAAACAGTTGAGAGAGACGCATAGAATAATGACAATAAAGCAGAGCAATTACAGCAGAGCTTGGCAGGACGGCGATGCGATAAAGGAAGACGAAGGCTAAATTAAAGCGGGACTCTGATAAATTTCCAAAGCAGACACAATGAAAATTACAACAATAACAACAACAACAACAACAAAGGAGCAGAAGACGAAGAAGACGATATAAAAATGCGTACAGCCAAGTAAGAGGAAAAGTCAAAGGAAAGCCAAGAAAAAAAGGCAGGCGGAAGGAAATGCCATTATGACGTAAATGTGCTAAAATAAAACAACATGGCGGACAACGACAACAACAACAACAACAACAGCAGCAACAGCGACGACGACGAACCGTGTCGAATGCGAGCAGAGCGCCCCGTAGCGCCCAGAGAGTATAGCCCTAGTCCTCTAGCTATGTGTGTATGAATGTGTTGCTCTGTGTGTGTGTGTGTGCGTTTGGGGCTAATGTCAAAGTCAATCTTGGGAAAAACGCGTAGCGCATAAACATACAACAAAATAAAGTACAAGGCGACGGCAAAGGCAACGCTAAAACCAACCCCCAAAAATCGTTTTGGGGACTCGAACCCCAAAAAAAAAAAGAAGAAAACCCGACAACTCGATTTTTCTTTTGGCTAAAGAAAAATTACCGAAATTAAAGCAAAAGAAAAACAATTTTCCAGCGTACGTTTTATTTATTTATTTTATTTCTCCTTTTTTTTTTTGTCCTCTCTCTCTTTTCCAGTTTCTCACATGTGCAAAAAGGGTTAGGTGGAAATCCTTCAGAGAGCAACAAGAGAAATTGTTTAAAATTGCAAACTGTAAAGTGGCAATGAGCGCCAGATGAAAATGTTAAACACGTTTTCCGATTGTTTTTATTTCCCTTTTTTCCTGCTGTCTGTCGTTTGTGATTTGTCTAGGTGAAGAGCCCCAAGCCGCAACACCAATAAAACAACAAAAAAGTAAAGAAAACGACAACAAGAACAAACGAATAAACGAAAGCGAAAAACTTTAGCAAAATAGACGAAGTTTTGATGCTCTAAGAAAGAATATTATGGTTAATATTAAATGGAAGGCAAGACATTTGAATTGATATAAATAAATCTCTTTTACTTATGATAGTTTATTTTTATATAATTTATAGATGATTTATAAATATATTTATTTATTAAAAAAGTTAATTTATGTATGCATGTATTTAATTTATTCATATGTATTCATTTATATTTTGTAGTAAAGAAATGTATAATATATTTATTTATACCCAATTTTTATTTTTTTATATATGTATTTAATTTATTCATTTGTATTTATTAAAATAAAATTTAAAATTTGTATTATTAAAATTGTAGTATATTTTTTTTATTTGTATAATATAATTATGTTTATATTATTTAATTTAAATTAATTTAATTTTTTTGTATTTTTATATACTTGTTCTTAAAATCAAATACACTCAATAATTTGTTATTTCTGCATCAATTCATCAACTTTCTCGATCTGGCAACGCTAAACTCGGACAACTCAAGCTGAACTCAAGCAACAGAAAGCTTAATGATGTAACAAAAACATTTTACAGCATTCATAATTTTCCTGTTGTTTGAGGAAAATGTATTGTGAGTGTTGCCAGAGTTTTGAGAGAGATTAGGATAAATTGCTTAAATTTTGGAATATTATTTGAAGAGATATAGATTATTATTTTGGTTTTACTATTAGTCAGCAGACGGACTCCGGCGTAGAGTCTTCTTTGAAAACTTTTGCTGCATGCAGCATAAACAAACTTGATAACAAAGTTAACATATATAGCCGGCTAACGGTTATTGCGATAACTGCAAATACTGGAGCAATGGCTGCAACGTCTACAATTTACCTCTCATGCTCGTGCTCGCTCTCTCCTCTCTTTCTCTCTGGCCCGCAGAATTTTCCCTTTTTTCTTCCTTTTTTTGCCTGCAGTCGACACTTTTGGGGGTGGTTAGATAAAATGTGGAAATTGTTGAAAACGTTGCCGAGACAGAGCCGGGCACAGAGCCTCCTGCATCGTTATGTGCCCGGGTTCGACGGACTTGGACGCATTTTGGGGGTGGTTGGCTAAGGTGCGAGACGCCGCCATTGACGTAGCTCTTATGCTCCATGTGCCATGTGACCATGTCCTTGCCAGTCAGTCAGTCAGCCAGCCAGCCAGTCTGCCATGGCAGTCTGTGTGCCGCCGAGCCTGTGGGCCTGGCAGGCATTTTCAAAATTTTCTTTCCGCTCGCGCTGGGGACGCAGCCGAAACAGAAATAATAACAACAACAGCTTGAAGAGCGCCAGCAACAATTTTCGCCACTCATAAAAAAGGAAATTTGAACTTGGCCTGATGTATGGACGTCCGGGCCAAAAAAAAAAACCAAAAACAAAAACAAAAACAAATTGTAGAAGGAAAACTGCCAATGTGGACGACCACTGCGGCAAGCGAAATGAAAATGCCAGACGGTAGCCCTGATAGCCAAGCCGTATAGCCACCGGGTGGTGCGGCACAGGCACAGAGGCAAAGCCACAGCCGCACAGCTACTGCAGCAGCAACCACAGCGTCGAGAGAGAGAGAGAGAGAAAGAGAGAAAGGGAGCTATAGAGCGAGAGAGGCAACAGGAAGAGCAATGAATTTCACTCGAGAGTTGGTGAAAGTTGCCCTTGAATAGTGTTTGGGATTATTTGTAGCGCCCTCTTCTCCCCTGTCGCCCCCCGTCTTTGTCCTTTGCCCTTATCCACCTCCTTCCGTCACTCAAGTCTATTTTCCCTCTAGTTCTGGCAGCCAATTGAGTTCGTTTTTAGTGTTTGCAGCCGAATTGAAGTCAACAAACAGACTAGAGACGACAAATAAACTAGAAATTTAAGCTTGCCACATGATTTAGGAGTAGCAGGGTTTTAATAGCTAGTAGGCACTGTATTGACAACAAACAACTTTGATTGACATTAGGATGTTTCTTCTGAGGAAGGGAAAAAGTCAAGGTCTTTGAATTTGGAATAAATTATAATCTATCTTCTTCATTACGTCTTCCACTCAGTTAACTCTAAACTCTTTCCATATTTTTAAATGTTAAACACCATTATTTTTTAATTATTTTAAATATTAATAATACATTTTAGAGCATCAATCTTCTTCAATTGGATTTAATTATAATTTTATATTTTAAATATAGAATTTTATTATATTATTTATAAATTAAATATGGGATTTTAATTTCAGATTTGATAAAAAAAAATAAATAAATATCATATATTTTTTTTTTTTAATTTGTTGTTCTATAGTCAATTTTCATTAAAATTAGGATTATTTGAAATTTCAAATAATTTTTATCTCTAGATTCAACCGAATAACAAAAAAATCTGTCAATATTTTCGTTTAGGAAATACTTATTATGGATTTTTATAGGCTTAAGAACTTATTAGGATTTTTAAATATGAATAATACTTACCAATTTTTGTATATATTGCAGCTAGATAGTGGCGCAAGCATTCGCATATATTTTTATAGATTTATATTTATTCGATAGGGTTGTTTATATGATAGTTATTGCACTTTAGTGAAGTTGAAAGATTTATGTATATTTGTATGTCGTATACTTTTTGCATTAGCACAAAACGGAACGGAACGGTTGCGATTGCTTCTTAATTATTAAATGATGCGTAAAACATCGAGAGAAGATTTATGATGATTGCTGAAAGTTTATATTGTGTTTTTATTCGATTATTGTTTTTATTTTAATCCATTTTGCGGACCTGTAGAAATATTGATTAGTAATTGCCGAGCATTTGAATAAAAGGAGAGAGAGAGAGAGAATGAGAGAGAGTGGGAAAGCGCGGGCTAGCACAACAAAAGCCGGCTACAAAGAGGAGCAAAGATAAACGAGGTACGCACGTGGCAAAACACAGACACACACACGCATAGCACACACACACACACAGCCAATAGCAAACAATAAACAGAGAACGCCGAATGGCAACCAGGTGCGAGCTTGCTGGTCCAAAAAGGGAGCCAAAGAGCAAACAGTAAAAAGCAAACGGTAAACGGCAAACGCCGTTGTCGCTGTCCCTGGCCCTGGCCCTGGCCGCCCGGCAGGCTAAACAACTAAATCAAATCGCAGCCAAGTGGCGGACCCACAAACACACACACACATACATACAACAAAAACCAGCTGGCAACGCTCTAGTCCCTATACCCCCAGTCACCTCCCTTCCCCCCTCTTACATTTTACGTTGAACAATTCGAGTCCGCTGCCCGGTTGGCTGCCTCTCAATGGGCTCTGGGGCAAATATTTTAAATGCGCAGATTTTTGGCATGTTTTAGTGGCAGTTCACGTTTTGAATTGTTGAAAGAGACTAGGAAACTGGGAGCTGGGAGCTGGGCACAGGCACAGGACGTGAAGCAACTCGTTTCACTGACAATTTAATACAAAAAATGCCAGATATTTCAAAAGGCGCACAACAAATGCCAACAACAACAACAACAAATTTTAGTTTGTCATGTTGCTTCTCTGTCTCTTTTTTCCCTTCTCTAAAGTGTTTGTTATAAATAAAAACATATGATAAAACTAACGGCAAATTGCAACTCTTTACGGCATGGCTAACAATATATGAGCTGAATAAACATTTCTGGTAACAAGCCAATAAAGTTTTTATATAAAAAATATAATGAAAACTAACAAGGAAAATATAGATGAATTTATATACTTTTTAAACTATATTTTTAAAAAAGTTTAGAAATATATAAAATTGAAAATTGAGAAAGAAGAGAGACTATATTATTTAATTTAAAAAAATGATTTTTTGTTTCATATATAATAAAAGTTTTAATCTTTTTAATATTTTTCAATTATTTTTTTATATAAAAACTTGTTTAAATAAGCTGTGTATGAAGCTAATTGGAATGTGATACACCTAAAAAGAAGAATGCTAATAAGAAATATTTTTAAAATAGATTTATATATGTTTATAAATATTCTAATAACGTATTCTATTTCTTATTTAATGTTTATTTTTTGATTTCCCTTCAATTTCTCTTCATATAAAATACTAAAAAATAAATTTACCATTACGATATCTTATAAGAAAAGTATATATGTATTTACACAATTTTTTTAAGGAGTTTAGTTTTTCTATTACACTCCCTTTATCTCTATGCCTTAATTTCCATTTAATTTCTCTGCATATAAAATACTATAAATACCATGCCGTTATTTCCCCTGAGCTTTACTCATTCTCACACATGTACGCCCTCATACATGTGTGTATTAGAAATTTCCCTTGACTTTTAAATTGTTGTTGCACTTTAAAGTGGCAACCCCATTCAAGCAATGTAAGGAGAAGGAAGGATTCGCTTTCCGCTTTGCCCGCTCTCTTTGCCTGCGTGAGCTCCCTTTTCCGTTGCTGTTGCTGTTGCTGTTTCTGTTTCTGTTTTTGCCTTGCCAGACTAACTCAATTAAAGCAGCAGACAGAAGTTGAGTGCTGACTGCCAGCCAACATGCAGGAGCGAGACCGCATATACAAAATAGCTACTAGCCCTTTGGCTCATAGAAAAATATGCATTTTAAATACATATATAGATATATACATACATACATGCATGCACAAGTGTAGATGCTAGATGTTTGTATATTTTTTTTCTATATTAAAAATATTTTTGCCGGCAAGTTTAAATTCCGTTTTGCATTCAGTTAAAGCTAAACAAAGCGTGTCTGCTGAAATTATCTAGATACTTTTTGCAGCCAGTAACACCAACAACAGCAAAAACAAAAAAACAAAGTGTGTCTGGCATGTCTCTAGCTGCTGCTGTTGTTGTTGTTGTTGTTAGCTCGTCTCGTAAATACGCTAAAACGACACAAAAAAAAAAAACGTTATTCGTAGTCTGAGCTGGCGACAGAGACGCTGCAGTTGCCGTCGCCGTCAACATTCGCTCTCTTTTGCTTTGTTTGTGTTTGGTGTTGTCGTTGCGAGTTTTGTGCAACTGTGTTTTGTTCCTGCTTTTGTGCTTGTTTCTTTTTTATTTGATTTTTGTTATTTTTTTGCATTTTCCGTCAATGATTTGTACTTCACTTTCATCAAACAGCTGCGCTCCACAAGCGCACAAACTTTTTTGCTATTTAGATATACACGCACACACATATAGGCACAGACACGCACGCACACACACATTCTAGCACACACACAGAGTAGCCAATGTTGGCAGGCTTTTGTCGTTTACCGTTTGGTTGTTTTGTTTTTTATTGATTTCTTTTTCGTTGCGCGTTCGCCGCCGTTCGGTTTGCAAATGCCGCCAAAATTGCAATCAAATGCAGTTTTTATCAGTTCAACTGGCAGCTCCTTCCACTACGTCACTCTCTCTCACACTCTCTCAACTATAAAACTCCCACATGCGACGTCAGCGTCGACTGCGCTGCCCCTGCTGGCCGCTGTCTGTTAATTAAACGCGCGACGTTTTGTTATTGTTATTAACACGCCGTACGCTTTGTTATCAGCATTCGCCGCCGTCGCTGCTGCTGATTCTGCTTATGCTTTCGCGTTTCGCATTTCGCATTTACGCATTCTTTTACTTCTCTAACACACTGCAGCCACCGACCGACCTGCTGCCCTACGCGCTGCTCTGCTGTTGTGCGTTAGCGTTTGCTGCGCTGTTTGCCGCTAATCGCTTTGGTTTCTGCCGCTTTACGTAGTTTTTCCGGTGATTTCCACTTGCTAACTGACATTTCTAGCGACTTTTCCAACCGGACCGCCGTCTGTGTCTTCGTCTATCGTGCACATCGCGAGCGCGTCGCCAAAAAGTGCGACAAAAAGAGCACAACAGAGAGAGAGCGAGAGCGCGAGAACAAACAGCTGTCTATTGCGCCGGTCACAATCCGAAACGTTTGCGAATTGCGGTTGACAGTGCTGCCAACTCGTTAGATATTTTGTGCGTTAAATTTGAATTGGCTAATGGAGATGAGCAGCGAGGAGAGTTTAAATGGTTGGGAAAGTTTATTTAAATACAAGTTTAATTTTTTGCTTTGTATTTCAATGCAAATAACTTACAAACGTAATTTAAAAATAAAATATTTTTATAAATCCAATTGGATCTCAATTGGGGAATTTGGAATTTGAAACATTGCAATGCGCATGAGCTGAGAGTGCATATATTTCCTATTGTCCGCTTTCTCTGTAATACACGCGTAGCAAGCACCAAGTACACAAAAACAAAGCGCCCCCAGCCCCCTGAAAGGACCCAGCTAGGGGTGGCTTTGTAGCAGCTATGTAAGCAGGTTGTAAGACCTGCCGGCCGGCTCACTTGTGGTCAGCTACCTAAAGGGTCGAAATGCTTCTGTTGTTGACAAATGCCACTGACATTGGCGACTCTGTTGAACAATATAGTCGAACGATAAAAGCAGCCAACTTTGTAGTAGCTGAAGTGGGCTAATAATCAAACCAGCACTGAGTCGTAGCCCTATAGATGATGATATTGAATGATATTGAAAAGCGCAAAATAGTCTAGAAAAATGAAAAATGTTCAAAAGTATGGAAATTCCTTTGGGTTTGACGAATATACAAGCTACCCTCACATACACAGACATTTCTCAGTATTTTTTTTTCAAAGAAATTTCCCTCGATTCCCATTTAGTTGGTCTGTTTATGTTTTTAGTCCGTTATGATAAGCGTTTTGGCCCCACCTCCAGCTTAATTGCTCAATAAATCGCCGTTGGCCAAATATTTTTCCAACAATTTAATTCATTCATGCAATTGTGGAGCGAACACCTGCGGCGCTATCGAAATATGTTTGCATTGCAATTAGAAATTGGGAAAAAAGCAATTAGAGTGATGATGTTCAAGGAACTTTTCAGTTTACCACACGCTATTTTATGGCCGAAAGCTTTTGTTTGTTTACCGACCTATTGCGACTATGCGCCAAAATATCGAGGCCTGACTGTTGGCCAATTAGTTAAAATGCCGGCAAGACGCACTGCAGCAGGTGGACAGGGTGGCCAGAGTGGGCGGTGCAGGTATGTAGGGGGGGAGGGGCTGGTGTTGGCCTGGACATGAGATACTCAACGGGGGCGGCACTCAATTTGCCATTTTTATGAGGCGCTTGAGTTCAAATTAAGAAGAATGCGGTTTCACTCTCTGAATACCCCATGGCAATTGAAAGCAAATAAAAGGGGTATATTGGTTGTTGGGTGTGTAAGTAACTCAACTCATTAGATATCAAATATGAGGAAATATGGGGTAATGTGTAATTCAGCTGAGTTTGTCTAACAGTCAGTCTGTTCATATATATATATATATATATATACAATAGACCTCAAGGAACTTGGCAACTATAGGCCGTATAGGGTTTTAATTTTATCTGCTCGTCTTTTATAGTATACTCAGTTAAAGTTTATTTTCAAATCACGTATTACCTTCAATATTTCATAGATCTCGTTATAAAATTGCAGTTCTAATATATCTCGAATACTTTAGAGGTTATCCTGCTCAAATTTGGTTTATAGTTTCCTCTATGGGCTGCACAGCTGATAAGCAATTCCTTTTTCGGCCTGGTCAATTCATTTGTGCAATTTGATTAACCTATTTGTGGACACTCTACATATAACACATCCAACAGCAACACGCCCCATGACTTAGGGTATCTGTTAGTCAGTGTCCACCCACTCTTAATCATTTGGTTTTTGGCGTTAACTAAACAGCATCAAGTGGCGAGGAAATTGAGTTATCCGCCGGCTCTCAAGAGGCAACTGCAGAAGCAGCAACAGCAGCAGGGTTCGCGCCCACATGAAGTGCACTCAATCAGTTGTACGACTCGGCTCTGTTTCTGTTTCTGTTTATTTAGCATTTTTACACACACCACAAATCTGTCCACAGAACGAGTAATGCCCCCAGCCAGCCAGCCGCCATAGAGCTGCTCCCTTGCAGCTCATTTGTTTTTATGGCTAGCTCTTATATTATATTTGTTAATCGTAATGATTTGCGCAACTGTCATTTGACACTTGTCTTGGCTGACGATTTACACTTGACTTTGATTTAATATGTCAGCTCTTAGAATGATCATAGTCATGCTGATGACGGTGATGATGATGTTGCTGACAATGATAATGATGTTGCTGATGCTGATGCTGCTGTTAATGTGTCGGAAATACTTCATTGCAGTCCAAATTAAAGTTCATGTAGTTGCCCCAAAAAAGAAAAAAAAATAGAATAATTCAGCGCCGAGCTGTCAGCTGGCAAGTGAGCCATCAGCTTTAATTAAGGCTGGCGCTCTTATTTAATTAAAATTACAAAAATTATAAACAATAAACAATAAGTGGTCTGTCAGCTGAAATGCACTGTGTTTACATTTCGGCCAGAAACAGAGAGCGACGGAAATGCGAATATTATGACAATTGTATACGTCCTTTTTTTTACGCTTTTCGCTTTTTGCTTTTTGTATTTTATTTCTTATTTAAGACTGCAAAATTAAAGTAGAGTATAAATGGGTAAATATTTAGGCTAGCCAGTGAGTATGTTACAAACATAACAAAAAATTTAAAATAAAAGTTTGTATTAGATTAATTATCTAATTAAATAAATATTTCAGTAAACAGAAAGACAATTATAATTCTAATTGGATCAAGCAGTTACTGTTCCAATTAGTCAAGGCGATAGAATACTCGCAATGAATTAATGCAACAAATTTTTATAATATTTATTTTTGAAATATTTAAACTTTCAGTTAATTAAAGAACTTATATTTCAATATTTTTTAAATTAAAACATTTTTATTAGCAATACATTTAAATAGAACCATATATAGAAATCGTTAAACTAAACCTCATAAAAATATGGAAAAATCATATAAGGGCAATTGCAGTCTATATATATATATTTATTTTCATTTTTAATTTCTATGTGACACTTTATTAGTAATAAAATATTGCATTACATATTTTTTCAAAATTAAATATATTCATAAAAATAAATAATATATCCAAAAACATAAATAAATAAATTTGAATTAAAACATAAAATATATAAAAAAAAAAAATATAACATATAATATAATATACATAATATAATATTATTTTTTTTTTTTTTCTATAGCTACGGTTTTCAAGCCTATATCAAACTGCCTCAAAATTATGTGTGAATATTTGTTTAAAAATTTATGCAGATATTCCTCCCTCCAAGTTTTCACTTATCAATATTTCATTACCTATCTTCCATATGCGTATATTCCTGTTACTCTCTTCCATTTATAGAGCAATTCCTGCGCGACTTGGATAATTTTTCCAATTCATTTTTTTGTGTTATTTTTTTAAACAATTTCCACTGATTAATTAATAACAATAAGAGCGTGGCACGCATAAAAACGTTAATGATTAAATACAGCAGCAACAACAATTGCAACAGCTATGGGCGATAGCAATTTTGTTGTTGCTTTTGATTTATAGTGGGAAATGTGAAAATATAAAAAAATCGTAGCATACTTTTGGGCTGGCTGCAAAATACAAACTATAAAATAAAAACGAACTGCAATCGAGCAATAAATCAGCGCATGGCCAAATGTGGGCGGCACTGTGGTAGTGGGCGCGGTCAGGCTTGCATTGATGTTGCCATTGTTGTTGCTCTTGTTGTTGTTGCCATGGACGCAGCTTTTAAACAATTTGATTTTATTGCATGGCAAAATTCAATGAAGCGACCAAACGACCAAATGACAAAACGGCAAACGGCTGACAGCAGGCGCTGAAATTTGCATACGGCAACATACGCCACACAGAAACAGATGGAGAGAGAGAGAGAGAGAGAGAGGGAGGGAAAGAGAGAGAAAGAGGCAGACACACATACACACACAGAGAAACAACATGTTAATGCAAATAAATTGCCTGCTGACTTTATTTAAATTTCCCATAAGACACACATGGTTTTGGAGCAAAGGGGAGGAAGGGGAGCGCAGGCAGGCGGGCAGGCAGTCAGGCAACAGCCTCTGCTCGTGCAGAAAACTTCTCCCAGCTTCTCCGGCTTGTCGCTTCTTCTCTAAGCAGCGCAACGAGGCGGCAAAGTGTTAGGCACCCACCAAGGCACCAGTTGGGAGATTTGTGTTCGCCCAAACAGAACCGCAGGCAGCCGAACATGTGTTGCCGCTGGCAGCTTTTTGTAATTTTAATTTTGATTTTAATTTGTGCTGAAATATTTACATAATCACTGACTGACAACAGGCTGCAGCAGCAGCAGCAGCAGCAGTTGCTCAAGCAACAGGACTCAGACTTAAGCAGCTGCCGCCTCGCCTCGACCGAAATTGATTAAACTTTAATGAAAATGTATAAAGCACGCCTGCATAAATGATTTAATAAGCACACACGCAACGCATGTGTGTGTGTGTGTGAATGGGAGTGTGAGTGTGTTGTGCATCTCATAAATGAGACATTAGCATTTGGCATTTGAATTCCACTTTGAGTGCGGGCAGCCTAAGCTGCTGTCAACGGGATAAACGGATGATCAATTTTTATTGCGCAAGCAGAGCGGGAAAATTAGGGAATGTTGATTCAATGTTGTGAGAGAAAGATGTACGAGCAACTGTAATGATTGTAAATATAATAACAATTCGAATTGACATATTAATGCTTTTAATAATGGGATTACTAATAAGAATAATAATATTTTGGAATAGAGAACGAAACATGGAAGTAGAACGAAGGGAGTGAGAAGACGAATGAGAAGTGAGATTGAGAATGTGAATGAAAGTCAGAGTGGGAATGGGATTGAAAATGAAAATGAGAATGAGAAGGTGAAGGAAGGAGAATGAGAATTAGAATTAGATAGGCAATGAGTACGAAAAAAAGAATTAAAACGAGATCGAAATTGAGAATTATTATGAAATGGGAATAAGACTCAGAATAATAATCGTAGTCATTATTAATATACTCATTATTTGATACTCATTTTCCCGCTGTTTACATACTCTCCCTCTCCCTCTCTCTCTCTCTCTCTCTCTCTCTCTCTCTCTCTCTCTCTCTCGCCCTCTCTCACAGTCCATCTTTCACCTTTATGGCTCCTTCTGCTTGCTTCTATTTACCTCCAATTCTTCCAGCTATTTCTACAGTGTTCCATTCAGCAGTTCGTTGTCTCTTAACATTTAGGCTGAGATTATGAGAGTATGCCATATGAGTACAACTCTTATACGCCCCAACGCCTCATACCATTCCAGAATAGCAATCTCTTCTTCTTCGTGAAGTCTTAGGTTAGTTTCCTGTATTGCGAGCTGTGTGCGTGAGCTGTAGCCTTGACTCTCCATGAAATTTTCTCTACATTTGTTGCTCAACTTAAAAGGTCGAGGTTTCACTCTCATAGATCATGTTCTTATTTAAGTCTTTCAGTGTTTCATTCTCATTCAAATAATGTTGTGCTGCTTTATATACCGCCAGCCAGGTTTTCACCCTGATCGATGTAATTCTAATTTTTCTCTCCAGCGTCTATTGCACTTGTCAAAAATATCCAAGACATCATCATAACTATTATCATTATCTTAACATTATTAATGTACACAATATATTGATAAATAATTGAGGAAAATCCCATTCAATTTCCACTCTCACATGCACCAGGAACAATTCATCAAAAGCATTTTCAAGGCTCTTAAAAAAAAAACATAAATAACAAACTGCAAGCAGAAGTGCTCTACTCACTCATAGAGTCGTGTGTCCTTCAGCTACCCCTCCAAACCATATGTTAACAAAAAACTCAAGTCTTATTAGACAAAAAATGCAAATAAGAACTGCGCAGCTTTGACCATTTTAATTGCACTTAGCGCACAGAAAAGCAGCACAAAAATGCGAAACATGTGAAAAAATATGAAAAATAGAAATGAAAAAAAAAAAAGAAAACATATTTTTAATTAGAGCCAAGAGAAAGAGCTAGATAGATATACAAACAGGTATACATATATATTCACAGGTGCACATGTGATAGCGGGCCTTGCAATTAACTTTGACAGTGCAACTGGAGTGGGAATATCTTGAAGGGGCAGCAATCGCTTTCACTTGGCGAAAGATCAAAGGAATGCGAGCATATGCAAACAATGCCAGCTTTATAGAGAGCTCGAAACTGCCGCAGCTTGAAGCTACTCCAGGTGCAGCATCAAAACGAGCGCTTAAAATGCAACTGCAACTGCAATTGCAACTGCAACAGCAGCAGCAACAACAACAGCAATAACAAATGGCAAGCATAAAGCGAAAGAGAGGGGAGGGCGGGAGTGAGAGAGTGCAGGATATATAGGAATAAGTGAATGAAATTTTTTTTGCTTTTTTTTGCTGAATGAAATGTAACTAGCGCTGGCTTTGCCATTGCTCTTTGCCAGATAAAAGCCACCGTGGAAACCCATAAATACAGGTAGTCGCATTTTGAATGGCTGGGTAAACGATGCCAAGCTGTCAGGGGAGGTGAGCTGTGGGGGCGGTGGGAGCGGGGTGTGTGCGCTGCCTAAGTGAATTGCCGCTTGCCACAGGACCACAGACAACCGCATGACAATGCCAAACAGAGCTCGACTCGACTCAACTCGACTCAACTCGACTCGACTTCTAGTGGAGCCTGATTCCAGGAGCTCTATTGCATTGTATCTAGTTGCAAGTCCCGGGCAGAAAGCCTTTGATTTATGGCATGTGCGTTTTAATTTTGATTGTATTTCCAAACGAGCCAACTCTTTGAGTGTATGTGTGTGTGGAGCAGAATGGGCGTGGGAGAGAGAGAGAGGGAGAGCGAGAGGGAGTGCGGTATTGGTACAGCTGCGGTCTTAATTGGCCGGCAAGAAAATTGTGAAAAAACAGTTGCCTACTTTTGAGTTGAAAATGCATTGCAAGAAAGACAGAGACTAATAGAGTAGGAGTGAGAGAGCGAGAGAGTAGGAATCGAAAATGAGAATGAATAAGGGCTTTTCCCTTAATATAGAGAGAATAAGAGAGAGAGAGAGACCGACAAAGAGAGAATGTGATATTTATTTTAAAAAGCATGCGAGTTTGATCAATTTAACAGAGACTGAGAAAGAAAGGGAGTGAGAGAGACAGAGACTGAAAGATAGACAGGGCAGATGGTGAATTAGACTGACAGTGATAGACTGTGGGAGAGATCAATAGAGTGAATTTAACTAAGTGAGAGAGAGAGATAGAGAGAGAGAAGGAAAGAAAGCAAATGATCGCTAGACAGAGAGAGTGACTGAAGGAGAGAGAGAGAGAGAGGGAGAGAAAGCAAGCAAATGATTGCTAGATAGAGAGAGTGACTAAGAGAGAGAGAGAGAAAAGATAGAGAGAAGGAGAGAGAGCAAATTATCACTAGACAGAGAGAGTGACTGAGATAGAGAGAGAGAGAGAGAGAGAGAGAGAGAGAACACATAAGAATAGAGGGAATGAGAATGTATAGTGAGTAAGAGTGAGAGATGTAAGGACAGGCACTTCAAAGCTTTAGAGTCACATAGCAACTAAAACCTTGCTCTAATCATTATACTCAGGACATACCAAGCCTCTAGATAAGACTTCTCTACTAGCCCTAATTCGTCAAATTGATCGTATAGACTCTATTTTATATACACGCCCCATTCTCTTCAACTGATCGTATAGCCTCAACTCTCCAACTCAAAGATTTGCTTCCGTCCTTCTGTGTGTGTACAAAGGCGAGAAGTTGCAACGGTAAACAACATTTTCCACAAATCTCATGTTAATTTTTGTGAAAAAATGCAGCACAAGAGCCGCTGCAGATGCAATTGCAGCGATGGCCGGAGGGGTCATGCCTGGCAAGCTTGCATAGATATGCACGCGAGGCTATCAACTAAGGGCATACAACCCTACGCACACACACAAACAAATACACACACACATGGCCCCACACACTGAAGCCCACAAATTGCGGCAAAATGCATTTTTCACAAGACAAAACGAGAGCTGCGAGCCGAGCCAAAAGCAACGAGAGATGCAATCTCAAGTGGTTATCTCTTCTGCATGTAGCAGAGAGCAAGAGAAAGTGAGTGGGAGAGAGAGGGCTGGAGGTAGCCGTAGTCCTCAGAGTCCTGGCAAAGTCAACATCAAAGTTCACGCCGACAAAGCGTTGCGAGTAAATGTTTAATGAGCGGAGTGGTTGGGCGATGCAGGGGGGAGCGCACATGTAGTTGCAGTTGGAGCGGGAGTTGGACCTGAAGCGGGAGCGGGAGTTGGAGCTGAAGCTGAATCAGAGGGAAAGACTCCTTCAAGCTGGTTCGCATGCCAATTAAAACAAAAGCCAAAAAACAAATGCACTTGAAGTGCCAGCTGGACGGAGCACTAGAGCAGCACGTTTCGCACAGTGTCAAAGGCGAGAGCCTACCAGCGTAGAGCGTCCGGGCCCGGCCTACCACTACGTGAAGTGTTTGGACTTGAGGGAGGGCTGACAACGCAAGCACTCCAAGCAACAGTTCTGCCTTTGAAGTCAAAAGGATTTCGAATGCCGAGCGGTTGGGCGGTTGGGAGGTTGAGCGGTTGGGCTAACTCCAAATTAGCTACTCTTGAGGCAAGGCGGAGGCAGGAAGTGGGGAATCTGCAAGCAGCTGCAATAAGGTCTAAAAGTGTTAGCTGCAGGCCACAATATGCCGCAGCTAATCAAATGGGGGCAAGGTGCGAGAATATGGGCACAGGATATGAGTTTTGCTAGGTAAATAGGGGCTAAAAAAAAACAGCGGAACTCAGGGAGGAATTGTGGGGAAATTGAACAATAATACTAATTATTGATATTCATGATGATGATATGATTAAGGAGTATACTGTATTAATAAATTGAATAGTTTTATGAGGTAGAGGAAGGTTTTATGAGCATCAACTGGAGGAGTTACCCAAATGTGAAAATTTCCAATCGGAACAATTGTTTTCTATATATTGATCTGTGTCAAAGTCATCTTAATGCTTTGCAGATGAAGAATACTTAAAGATATGATATGGGTTACCGGAAATTTTAAATGCATGGGCTTACGATATCATGGATAGATAGATAGATAAAGCGAACAGATTGATATAGCTATATATATGTAGTTAGATATAGATATAGTTTAACGCACATCCTTTTGCCTGTTCAGAAAGAAGAAACCCTTAACTCTCACTAAAAATTAATTTTGGTATACAAATACACCCATTCCCCATTCGAAATCTCGCATCAGAGCAACCTTTGCCTCGATATATGTTTTATAGTTTTCCTACCGAAACCCTCTGCCTTTGCTCAATCCATCATTTCGACCAGCTACTACAAACTCTGTACAATCTCAGTGTATATTCAACATTCCATAGCATTCGTCTACTTAATGCTACGGAAAACCAGAATCTAAAAAAAAAAAAATTCAAACACACAGCTCAAGTAGTCGTTGATCTAAACTTTGATCACGAATCCATCGATATTTCAACGTTAGTTAAAAAGTTTATATATATTTACTCATAACGTCTGTTTGGTTTCGCTTCATTCAGCCGGAAGAGCCGAAAGTTTTCAAAACAAATAAAACATTCGTCAACAGCAAAATATTTTTTTAAATTTCGGTATATATTTTAATTTGGTTTTAAAAGAGAAGCCGTTAGAGCTTTCATTCCAAATTCCTGAAAGGTAAATATATATAATTTTAAATCGGACTTCAAGGACTTTTTGGAAGTGCAGCTGCTACAATATGGCTGATAAGTACTCGGAGCCGAAAACTGATTTAAACAACTTTGACAAGGATTTGTGCTCACGCAATCCCATAACTGGCATGGGCCTAAACGGAGATGGGGTCGGTGGACTAAAGCCCAAGATAGCCAAGAGCCGAGGTGAGATAGTTCTAAATTCTGATTATATGTCTTGATATATGTATATATATATATCTGTGTATCCCTTCACACAGCGGGCAATCCGGTGACTGGCGAGGGCTACAGCGCAGGTCTCACTGATTTGGATTTTATGCGAAAGATTAGCCGTCGCCCAGGTCCGATGTCCCATTAGTGTTTCCCTTATTTACTGCTCCAACAACAAGAACACGCCCCTCACATAGGAACCATGCCATGTACGGTTTGCCTAACAACACGACGCTGTTTGACATTTTAAATATACGATTTTGCTGCATAACACGAAAAAATAAACTGGGTATGACAAACTAACTGTACGAGTTTTATTATCCAAATTGTGGGTAGGTCTGTCTCTGGGCGTGAACTACAAATGGGAGTTACTGCGGCTATGCGAAGTTTAACCAAGGTTGAGAACTGAATTGTAGCCGGAGGGAGACTAAATGGGCTGTATAAATATAGATCATGGAACTTTTCAGCTGAAGCTATGCTACTTGGGCCGAGGTTCGCTAGGTGAGGTTTATTAAATTCCTGTACTGTCTACGCACAGTGGGTTCTTCTAAGATCAGGTTGCAAAAAACTGACAGCGCTTAGTAAAATAAATTTATAGGTATATAATTTGGAATATAATATATATCGTAAGCCTTTCACAACGGTCTCCATCAATTAACCTTCTCTTATACATTATACCTACATCAATAACATGGAGAAAGAGGTATGGAGAGGGAGAGAGAGTGAGATGGTGAGATGGACTGCGAGGGATGTAGAGAGAGTGATGAATAGAGTTTGAATGGAGAGAGAGAGATGAAGTGAGAGGGAGGAATAGGGAGAGATGGAAAAGGAGAGAGAGTGAAAAGAAAGACAGATTTCTCCACGACTATCAACTTAAGGCATATTTATTATATTATTTACCCTTCACCACGACTTACTTTGTTTAGAAATCAAATGGCTCTCTCTTATATAGCCTCTGCCCAGATTATTCTTCTATAATCCTTTAACCCATTGTCGCTTCTAGCCATGAATAGGAAATTAGCTATGGTTTGAGCTATAGAATTTCGTCCACAGCTTTTGATTAATAATACGTACTTCCCCTTAGTCTATACCCCATTTACTATTTAACCAGCTCGTCATTCGAACCACTTTGGTTACTTTTTTTCTCGCTTTTAATTATGCTCAGCTCTGACAGCTCAGCCCGGCACAATGGATGCCAATGGAGCAGCTGGCGGAACTGGCGCCCGGCGATATGTGACAGCCATTTAATTTGATTTATGGCCAGTGAATAGTCTTGATTAGAACGCGACCGCCCAAGCATGGGATTACAGTGCGCACACATGTATGAGTGTGTGTGTGTGTGTTTGTGTGTGTGAGCGAGAGATGTGTGTAGCGAATTTAACTCAATTTCACATAAATCAAAAATGTAGCTAAACCAAGCCGGGAGCTATACGTGTGTGTGTGTCCGTGTGTGTGTGAGTGTGTGGATGTGGGGTTTCCTCTTTGCTCAGCGCGCACCTTGGCGCTAATCGTATTTCAATTGTTGAAATGAATTGCGAATTGCGAATTGAATGAAGTGCTGAAATTTGAGCGCGAGCTGCACACACACACACACACACACACACACACATCCACTCACACCTGTCGATATAGCAGAGCTAGTGTATGTGTGGGTGTGCGTGCGTGAGTGTATTTCAATTCCCTTGTGCAGCATCTAGAGGAGTTTCCTTGTCTGCTCCCGTTGTCAATGCGATTACCGTTGAAGTCGGCTACAAGTTCATAAAAGTAACGCCAACAATGAGCGAATTTAGGTGTCAAACAGCAGGTGGCAATGGCAGCAGGTAACAGGAAATGCCCAAACCGTTGGGGCCCCAGTTTGACTGTAGACGGCGGACTGTAGACTGTGTCGGTCGGTGCATGGAGCTGGGGCGATTGCGGGATTTTGGGGGCCTTTGGGACTGGGAGGCGTCAGAGACAGATGATATCTTAAACACCACACACACGCACGCACACAGAGACAGATACACAATCACACATGACTACACATGCACACACACACACACACACACACATAGTGCAAAATGTTATCAGTGAAGCAAGCGCCTGGGCTGTTGTACAATTTTTGACATGGGTTTTCCAACAGGCAACAACAACAACTACAACGGCAAAAAAAAAAGTGAACAAATGCCAAACAAAGGGCCAACCAACGTTGGGTTTGGGTTCTCTATCTCTGTGAGTGTGTGTGTGTGTGTGTGTATTGGCAAACCGCAAGAACATCAACTGATGGCAGATAAATTAAATTTTGCGGTTCTAAATGGGCAATCAATGAGGCGTACTAGCCCTGCCACTCAGGTGTGGGCGCTTCTTCGCCCATTTTGGCACTATCGAAACTAGTTAAATTTAAAAATTTAACCAACGACCAAAGACTACGGCCAATATGAGCTCTGTGACCCCCTCTGTGACCCCCAGACTGTGGGCAAAGTCTCGTGACATTTTTTGGCTGTGTCAACTCTGGGCAACTTCAAAGAAACTCCCAAGAAATGCCCGCCACTTTCTGCCCTCTCTCTCTCTCTGCCTCTCTTTGGTCTAGAAACTCCTTCCAACTGTTGCAGCAGCAGCAGCAGCAGCAAAAAGAGAAAAGATAGAAAAGTTGTTAGCGAAACTTTTGCTCGCCCTCAAATATTGACTTAAGCAGCAGCAGCAGCAGCAACGCGCGCTCCACTCGATGGCTGAAGCACCTCAATTGTAAGGGGTCCACCTTTCGCCCTCTCTCACCCCCTCTCTCTCTCTCACAGGCTCACCGTCTCACCCATGCACACTGTCTGCCTGGGTGTGAGTGTGTTGTACAGTTGACACCTTTGCGCTTTGAAGAGTCTGCTGCTGTGTGAGGGAGTGTGTGTGTGTGTGAGGGTGCGTGTGTGTGTGTGTGTGTGTGTGTGTTTGTCTGTTTATTGGTATTTATTTGGCTGCCGGCACGCCCAATCAAACAGACATCGCAGCTGCTTGACAATAGGAAATGAGCTGCACTTGCTATATGTACATACATGCATACATATACATATATGATATATAGAGGTATTCAATAGACTGATTGGATGTTTCAAAAGAGTTCATTTCATACGCAATCTGTGCAAAGTAAATGTTAGGAATATTACATATATAATTGAGTATTTTATTTTTTAGAGAAATTATAAAATGTATTTATTTTATTGAAATATTTTTAATAAAAATATTAAATTATTTTCGCACTTAGACTTTATATAATTCTTATTATCATTGCTGTTATCCTTATAAATATGTATTATTATTATGAGTACACGTTATAGTAACACACTTTAGACTTTACATTTTCTGGCTTAGTCTAGACTCAGGCAATTAGCCTGGTTTTTACGAGTGGGTCAATAGACGTGAACAACTTTGTGGACCATTGGTCAGCTGAAGAGTCTCAGATTTATGGCACTTCAGTGGACCACAACGGCAGCAAGATATTTATTAATTAACCATTGACGCTCCGGCTGCACTGGTCGAGCTGGCCGGCAGCAGCATTCATGATAAATGGATGTCTGAAGTGCAATTTGCATGCGAGTTTTTAAATCAGATGCAGCACAAAAACCTGAACACAAGAGCAAGCTGCAGCAGCAGCAGTAGCAGCAGCAGCAGGAGCAGCAGGAGTTGGACTGGGCACAGGTGCCGGAGCAGACGTTGATGAGCATCATTATGGCAAAGTGCGGAACGCTGCGGATGACATGGATGGATATTCAATGGGGATGACAATTATGACATGCCATTGGCAGCATTATTGCCTGCTGGCTGCTGGAATTAACGCCATTTTAATTGAATTTTAATATTTCACACACGACTCGAAAAGCCGGAAATGTGACGTGAGCCAGCGGCGCCAGCGTTGGGCTTTGAATTTGCGCAAAACCGCAAGTAAACGGGATGCCCACGACTGTCAAGTGGATGCCCGGCCGGACTGGGGCGGGGCGAGGCTGATGCCAATGAAATCGCCATTATGAAAATCTGCCATCTGACATAAATGGTCAGACCAAAGCAATAATTTCAACGGGTCGACTGACTGGCTAGCTTTAATGCCAATAAAAATGGAAAATAAATTAAAATATGGCAATTATCAACCGAACGACAAACGATAATATCAATATTTATTACAATTTTATAAACTACAAAAAATTAGTATGTGTTTAATTGAATTAAAATTACAAATTTATAATTTTATTTACGAGAAAATAGACAGGAAAATTCGAAAATTGCAATACAAAATTATATTAAATTAAATAAATAGGCAAAATAAAAATATTAAGTATTAAAAGACAAAAATAAACGAAGAAAAAAATGCAAAACTTTTCATTAAAAAAAAAAATAAATAAATAAAAAATAAATGTATATATATCATTTATTACTTTTACTTAAAAACTTGTACTTATACTTTTATTAAAAAAATATATATGTTTAATTTAAAAAATACATATATTCTTTTATTTTACTATTTGTATTATTTTTTTCAATTTTTTTTTCAAGAACTAAAGGAATTTATCATCTATAATCAATAATTTGTTGTATTTTATAAAGTACACAACATTTTATATGATATATATTTTTATTTTATTAATATTTGTATTATTTTTTATTTATTTATTTATTTATTTATTTTTTCACAACAGAATTTGTATATACTTTTCCTATTTATTTATTATTTAATATGATTTTATTTGCTACGGAAATAAAAAATAAATAAAATGGAAAAGACAATTATTATAAAATTTAATGAAATGCATAAAGGGACTTTAATTTTATTTCTTATTTATTTAATAATAATCTTTTCTGTAATATGATTTTATTTGCTTTCGAAATAAAAAGAAATACGCGAGAAAAGAATATTATTATATATTTTTATAAATTGTAAATAGAAATAAATAATAATCAAATTCTTTTTTTACGATTATTAGCTAAATATATGCAAAATTTTATTTACAATAAATTTAGTTTGCAACGAAAAGCATTTACATTATAAATGCGCATTTCACTTTATTTGTAATCGAACGTGCACAAGTTATCGACTATCGATAGGCCGTGCTTCGTGCTTAATGTCAGTGCTGCCTACCGTTTGCCTTAACATTTCAGATTTCAGTTTTTGAGCAGCACATGATTCTGTGATATTAAAGGAAAAATCAGCAAAAATGTAAGTTTATTCGTGTAAAATACGCCGAATATATATTTTCATATATAATGTCATCCATATTTGTACAGCAAAGCAAACGATGTCGTTTTACAAGCCAAAGCTTAGTGCGCTGCAGAGGTCGCAGATCCTCACATTGGATGAGCGCATACAAGTGCTGGAGCAGGAGATCGAGAAGCTGGCTAGGGATGTGCGTGCCTATAAGAACTACGAGAGGTACGGCAGCCAATCGGACGATGTGTCTGTGGAAAGCGATACGGAGGATGAACTAATTAATATTGTGGTCGAGCTGACAAATCTGCATGCGATAGAGCATGCGGAATTCGTCAGACGTTTAATGTGCAATGATGATAGCTCTTCGGAGTCGGACTAGTCAAGTCAAGTCAAGATATCTGGCGAGAAATATAGGTGCATATATCTTGTATATGTATGTGATTATGTATGTGATAATGCAACGTCAAAATTTATACAAAAGTTCAACTGAACTAAATTCTACTTATATACATGAAGTATTTATATACACATTTTCGCCAGTGTTGGCTAACGCTTTAGGGCACACACAGCAACAACACCACCATCAACAACAACAATAAGTTTCTGTCGTGTCCAAATATTAAATGACGACTGTGACAATCAACGACAACCGACTATAAAACTGTCAACTATTGATGACCTGACTTTCCAATGGTCCTGGGCACAGGGGCGTGGCAGGAGCAATGGTACTATGTTCGTATGCTGTCTGCAATCAGAGTTGGAAATTTCTTCGCTTGCTTTTTACATGCAAATTTAAACGAGTTTCAATCACCAGCGGCCATTGTCTACGGGCGAGCTCCACTCCCAACTCCCAGCTCTCTCTTCCATTCTGTGTCTGTGTGTGTGTGTGTGCTCGTCACACTGTGCGTATGAGCTATGAAAAAGTAATTAAATTTAAGGGCGCAACCACTGGGCAGCCAGCTAGTTAGAGGGACTGAGTGCACTGAGCGAGACACCCTGGGAACAAGTAAAAAAGTGTCATTATTAACGCATTGAACGCGAATGCCAAACAAGCTGACAGCTGTGCCCCAACCAGGCGGGAATGGTGTGAATGTGTGTGTGTGTGTGTGTGTACCAAAGGATTCAGCTGGACATTCGAGTTGGTAGGAGACAAAGAGAGACGCAGAGTGAGAGAGAGAGAGATAGAGCGGGAGGTGTCTCTGACTCTCGATAGGTTTTCTCTGTTTGACGCTATTGACACTTTGCACAGTTCACAAATGACATTTATTGAAAATTTCATCATTAGGCAACTGAGCGAACTTTGTCAACTTTTGCACCATGTCAAAACTTATTTAAATCGACTCCTCTGACACGTGCGTGTGTGTGTGTGTGTGTGTGTGAGGGTGAGTGAGGGTGTACGCGTGTTTTGGGCATAAAGGTTCGCATGATATTAGTGTGGCTTTATCTAGATAACTGGAGATGTGTTGACAACCCTTGCATTTTGTGTTTCGGAAATCAGTTTGGCATCAACAGCAATTCACTGAACAGCAAAATATCCCCAAGGATATAGCCAAATTTTCTGCTCCTCTTTTTTGTTCTCTTTCGATTTTTGCATAATTTTCAAAATGAAAAGTTCGAAGACAGTTTGAAGATGCTGAAGCTTACAACAACAACAACAACAACAACAATGGCAACAATATTTATTCAACCCCAAATCGAAAAATAAACAAAATGTAAATATAATATGCTCGCTGGCTGGAGATGGAGATGGAGATGGCGATGGAGATGGAGATGGAGATGGCGATGGAGGTGGAGATCGAGATAAAGATGAATGAGCAGCACACACATTAGATTCGTGTGAGATAAGCAAAGTAGCTTTAACCAAATTTCGAATATATTTAAATGGCCTTTATATAGTATAAGAGATGCCTTAGGCTAAGCAGAGCTTAAGGCATCTGTAAGAAAATTAATTGATTATAAATACTTTCCAGATGTATTTTTAATAATTTAATTCAGCTGTGATAAAACTTAATAATCATATACATATTAAAACAGAAAGAATGTAATAATGAAATAAAATATAAAATATAGTAGTAATAAAACTTCTAGCTCAAGAGTGAAAGTCAACCCAACAGATTAGCTTAGCTAGATTTTAGATTTGTAGAGGCTTTCCTATCATATATTTCGCTCCCCCTCAGTGTTTCTCCCTCTTTTTCTATGCATTACAAGCTCAAATATTAAATTAACTTAAATAAATAATAATAAATATATAAATTTAAAAAGATATATTTTTTATGAAATGCAAAGTACCAATTTATTAGATGGAATATTCCAAAATAAAAATAGTTAAACTAACTAGAACAACTTTGCCTTAGAAATAATATGATATATGCATATATAGAAATATGCTCACAATTGTACCATAGATAAATATTATTTTATATTTATAAATATTTATTTATTTTTACTTGCTCATTTATAAATACATATATTGCAGCTTAGGTAAATATTATTTTATATTTATATACATATATGTATATATTTTTTTCTTGCACATTTATAAATACATATATTGCAGCTTAGGTAAATATTATTTTATATTTATACCTGTATTTTTTTATTTATTTTTTTTTTTTTTTTTTGCTAACACATTTTTATTTGTATATTTTCTTAGCATCATCTTTATTTTTGCTGAACGAAATAATAAGTTTTTCCCCTCATTATTTAGTTGCTATCGATCATAAGCGCTGTGCGACTCCCCTTAGCTGCGCCCCCCTTCTCCCCTCTCTCCCTAACCAGCATATTAAACAGTCGTCTGTGCCACCCTGGCGTCAGCGTCAGCGTCAGCGACAGCTACAGCAGTGGCCCGGCCACGCCCCTTTGTGGCAACAGATTCCTTTCGTGTTTTCTGGTTTTGCCTGCGGCAAACATTTACCGGATTTTCGGGCAACGGCTTAGGGTCGCCTTCAGCCTTCAGTCTCTGCCTTCAGCCTTCAGCCGTCTGCCGTCAGCTTTCAGCCTTCGGTTCGTAATCAAAAATGCAATGTTTGGCTTGGTTAAGCGGAAATCGGTAGATTGCGTCGCAGCAACTTGCTTGTTGATATTAACACCTCATACCCAGCACACATACACACACACTTACGCACACCCTGTGGCCCTCTGGCCCTCCCTCTCGCCTTTACTTTAATGGGATTTGTGTAGGTTAATGAAACGTCACAGATGATGAGGCCTTAGATTTCCAATGATATGTCAAAACTGAGTGATGCTGTTGATGGATGGACGCAATTGCCATCCTTTAGTTGCCACGCCCCACTTTTCCACCACCCACACCCCTATAGTCGTTTGCCCAGCCCTGCCCTGCCCTGCCCTGCCCTGCCCTGCCGCGCCTTGAATCCTCATGCATCAAACGCCGCAGCGCATAAATTTAGAAAATTTTTGCGACTTGAGCAACGCATTTCCATGGGATTTGTGACTGACTGAAGGGTGTGTGTGTGTGTGCTGCAATTGGCGCTGTAGTAGTAGCTGGAATTGGGCTTGTGCCTGGGCATGAGTACGCAGAGTTTGAGCCTCAACAAATAAACGAACATCCGTTGCCATCGTCACATCAAATGCAATTTTCATGGGTAAATAACATAATCAACATTTGAAGCCCCAGAGCCAGAGCCAGAACGAGAGCCAGAGCGAGAGCGAGAGGTGACGAGGAGCTGCTGTTCCTGCTGATGCAGGTAAGTAGCACCTGTCGCCGCTTAACCGCAACGAAAATGTTTCCATTTGCGTTGCCAAACGTAATTTTTGCCATATTGAAATTTGATTTGCGACACCTTTTTGGCCAAAGTGCAAGCGACATTCGCTGTCAGCTGTTTGAGCCGTGTCTCAAGTCTCTGAAGGAGGCTCCCCTTTCTCTATCTCTCTCCCTCACACACACTTTCTCTCACTCACTGGCAATTCAATTTGAGCAATTTGTGATAAATTTGTTGGGGCAGGTGAGCAAAGTGGGGACCATGTGTAACATGCATAATTTTTAATGGCATGAGACAAAATTCATTTCGAATTAGTTTCAAAATTAACGAAAAAAGCCTTGCCTTTGGCCCTGGAAAAACAAAGTGATTTTAAGTGTAGGTAAATGCGAAAGTAAGTCATGGCAGATCTGAAACTTCTAATTCATTGCACTTTCAGCAAGTTCCTCGGGCCTTAAATGGGGCTAAGCGAAAAAAAAATGAATAAATGGAAAGAAACAAAAATGTAAGCGCTTTTGCTTAGCAAAAGTGAAACGAAACATAAACAAATACGACTCGCAGCAAAGCGACTTACATCTACTGATAAAGAAAAGAGAAACTCTGTGTGTGTGTGAGTGTGTGTGTGTGTTTGTTGCCCCCCTGACTGGGCGACGTCTTTTAATGAAAGATGACAACAACCACATGCACGATAAAAGGTTGTCATTAAAATTGCAACAGTTACCGCAGCCGCAGCATTAGAAGAGAGAGAGAGAGACCTGTAAATGCAACTGCGACTGTGTTTTGGGGCTAAAGTAGGTTGACGCTTAGCAAATATGTCGCCAAATGAATGTTTATGGGAACTACAAAGGCATCGCCATGTACGAGGCATTGAATCAAGATGAAAGTTGAATATGTAATTGATTAAAGTAGCAGAGTTTGTACAGAAAGCATGCACACATTCACATGCACATTCACACTCAAGCAGTAAATGTTGACTGTGCAGAGAATTTCGAAAAGCGCGCTCAGATGAAGGCTGCCAGATGTGTATAAAAACAACCGCTCACTAGCAGTGTTATTTAACAGAGCTGAGAGCTTAACAGTCATATGTTAGGGCAACAGCACACGAACTGTAAATGTAATTTGGCTGCTCCTAAGAGAACTGCTAATGATATTTAACAGTTGTGGTTCTGAAATCAAAGAACAAAATTAATTTTTTCCGTTGTTGCGTTCTGTATAAATATTAAATAAATTATTTAAAATGACTTGTTATACTTTGTTTATCTTTTTACACATATATTTAATTCAATAAGGCAAAGTTGCTAACTAAAACAAACGCTTTGATGGCTCTGCTTCCGGCTCGGCATTGCTGTCCAGCGGGCGAGTCAGCTCAATGGAGTTGATGCGGATCATTGTATTGGGAGATCGCTGGAAGTTGATGCGCATATACTGTTTCCTGCGCTTCTTCTTGAAGTGTGTCTTCGTGTGCGTCAGCGTCTTCTCGATAATGGTGGCCTTAACAGTGACCAAGCCCGCTTCCAGAATAGGCCTACCGATCAATGTGAAGTCACGGGCACCCGCCAGCAGCACTTTGTCGAGGCTAATCTCATCGCCTATCGTTGGTGGCCAATATCCCTCGACTAAAATGATGTCTCCAGGTGTAATCTTGAATTGCTTGCCGCACAGGTGAACCACAGCGAATAGCCGGCCCTGCTCGGATTTAGCCACCTGCTGATTAATCCGCTCGCATACTGTCTGACACTCTTTCTGATGCTCCTTTGCAATGGCAGACACATCAATAGTAGCGGGTTTGTTTTGCTGCTGTAGAGTGGGAGCTAAGCTCAGGGCACGCATTGCACCTGCAATGGAAGGCGAACATGGGAACGTTATGTCATGGCATGCTGAATAGAATTCTTTACAAGCTTACCGCATAATGTGGCACGCTGTGTTGTGTGGCGCAGCAGCTGGCGCATGCTCTGTGTAAGTAGTGACATTTTTTATACAGCACTTTAGTTTGCAAAATTAATAAAGTAATAATATTAACAAATACTTGGGCAACACAAATGTGCCGATAGCTTTAGCCTCTTCGCCTATCGGTAGTGCTGTATAAGTGTTCAGAAATATCGCTTAACATCACTTGCCATTTGTAAACACTCAAAAGCTAACTGCTATGAATGCAATCAAGGTGATTTGAGTTAAGCAAGCGCTGCTTTGCACTTCATGCAATTCATTTTAAACATAAATTTACCTGTGTCGTGTTCAATTTAAATTTTTTTTTAAATATTCACCCTGGCAAGGAAATAATGTTTCGAGTTATCTAAGAGTGCGAATTAATGTCGATCAGTTAATCCACTGCATTGGCCGTAACCACCAAACTATACAATACATGTAGGATTACTGCTGTAACGGAAGTAAGTGTTGCATTCATTTTTAAATAACCATCGTGCAACAGCGCTGCCTTACTTTCAAAAGCTAACTGCTATACTACGAAAATAATCGATACATTCGCATCGAAGCAAGCGTCGCTGCGCACTTCAAGTATTTAAATTGGAGCGGAAATTTTCTGTAGTCAAACTCTATTAAAATAACTAGAAAGAACTGAAAACTATGGAGCATAAAATGTTTCAAGATCCGACACTGGAGCGCCACTTCACCGGACATAGCGGTGCCATAACACAGTTGCGCTTCAGCCCCGATGGCCAACAAATCGCAAGTAGTTCCATGGATACCACAGTTATTTTGTGGAACCTCAAGCAGGCAGCGCGTTGCATCCGATTTGCCTCGCACTCTGAGCCCGTTTATGGAGTGAGCTGGTCGCCCAAGGGCACTTTCATGGCCTCCTGTAGCCATGATCGCACCGTCAAAGTCTGGGAGCCCAAGGTACGCGGTGGCTCGGCCGAGTTTCTCGCTCACGGCAAGCCGGTGCGCAGTGTGGACTTTGATCCCACTGGGCAGCTCCTGTTGACTGCCTCCGATGACAAGTCGGCCAAACTGTGGCGCGTATCACGACGTCAGTTCATCTCGTCGTTTACCCAGCAGACCAATTGGGTGCGTGCTGCCAAGTTCAGTCCCAATGGCAAACTCATGGCCACCGTCAGTGATGACAAATCTCTACGCATCTATGACCTGAACAGTGGGGAATGTGTGCGCACCTTTACCGAGGAGCGTGCTTCACCCCGTCAGCTAGCTTGGCATCCTTGGGGCAATATGGTAGCCGTTGGCCTCGGCTGCAATCGCATCAAGGTCTTCGATGTGGTCCATAACCAGCTGTTGCAACTATATGTCGTACACTCGGCACCTGTCAATGATCTGGCTTTCCATCCAAGTGGCAACTTCCTCTTGTCGGGCAGCGATGACAAAACTATTCGCATATTGGATCTACTGGAGGGCAGGCCCATCTATACGCTGACTGGGCACACAGATGCAGTGAATGCTGTCGCATTTGATCATGACGGCAATAAGTTTGCCACTGCAGGCAGCGATCGCCAGGTGAGTGCACTGAATGAGGAAATATATGTAAATGTATAAATTATAATTCCTATCTATATATTGCAGCTCTTCATTTGGCAATCCAATTTGCATACCTATGATGCTTCACAGTTCGATGAGAAGTCCATGGCAACATCGGCCAACGACACCAGCTGCGCCTCTAAAACTAGCTTGGACGATGCCTCAAAGGCCAGCAATGATTTGAGCATTCGCATTGATCCGCGCGAATCGGCTGCTTATCGAGCGCTCGACGAACACTTCAAGGTGGTTGAAAGTGAACACTCGAAACAACTACAACCACCAATGAGCTACCTCTCCAACGCCACCAGTCCCAAATTTCGTGAACATGCGAAAGTTTCGGGTCTGGAGCAAAAGCTAAATACCAAATATAAAAGTGCTCCATTTTTTAAGTAATAGAGTTCTAAGCAAAACACACAGCTGCATCATCACATAGCAAAAACAAAAACTAAAACAACCCGAACAGCAAGCTTATAGCAAAACCTTTCACAGGTACTGGATGTATCGCTGGAATCTGAGTCGGGCTCCGATTGCTGCAGCTGTGCCGCCCAGCTCGATGACATGAACACCCAAATGATGCAGCTGGAGCAACGTTTAAGGCGTTTAGAATGTCTAATCTTTGACTCAAACTAAATACTATTTTAATGCACATCATGCATTGTGAATTCATTTTTATTAATTTAATTATATACAAGTTTTAAGTAAACAATATAAGACCTCATGATCCTTGCCTTGAGTATTGTATTGTTAATTAAGCGTTGATGTAATTATATTAGTATACGGTTAAGTATGTCATAGAAAAAATAGATACGTGGTGTATACATATATGTATGTAGCTGAAGTAGAGATTGGAGTGAGTAGTAGTAGTATACGTACATACATATATATAAGCTAGTGCTGTATGGAGATTGTGTGGAGTATTTGAGAAGAATGATTTCTCCTCTGAATATTAATTCTCCCATACTCTACTTAACTCTTATCCTCTACATGCATGTATGTATGCTTTAAACAAATGAGTATATTTTAAAAGGCGAAAGAGTGAGATCAGAAATTATCAATAAAATGAGAGACAGACAAGCAAAGAATTAAGGAGAAAACACTTGCAGTTGATTGTCGACAGAATTTTGAATACCACTAATATATTGTGCCTTTATTATAAGAGACGCTTTTACATATATAAATATGGATATGTATATGTGTAGCTTAAGAGGACAATAAAATAAGGCCGAGTCATATAAGAGAATGTATTTATTTCAATTGGTCTATTTTTTTATGATTGGCTGGAATTTTGACATACTACTCTCATAAATACCTTCTTATACATACATATTGAACACGCATAGAAATAAGTGATATATGTATTTAATTATCAAGACATGATAAAATTTCGTTATTATTACTATGATTATTATTATAACTAATATAATATTTTTTATTTACATCTGTATGTTCTTTTATTTACTAGTAATGGTAAATGTAATTATATTTAATTCTGGATAAGATTTTCTCACAACTCAATTCCAAAAAAGGCTCTGAACTAATTTCTAAAATTTATAAATTTTGTTTTAATTAATACATTTAATATTATTAATTATTCAATACTATTAATGATTTTATTTAAATTAAATCTTATATTTATAATTATTATCACATTCAAATTTGGCATATTCACATTTTGATTTTAATTGATTTGATATGAATAATATGAATTAATTTGTATTTCAATATTATAAATACCAAAAGTCAATATTCTCTTATTTTATCACTTTGGCAAATCAAGCTTCATATGTCATATACATATACATATATATAAGGAAAATATAAATAAGAAATAGCTACCCTTGCAACAGCCAATGAACTCAGTGCAGTTCATTCAACTGCTAACCAAATGCCTATGGAGCAGCTCGCTTCTAATGATCATCTCGCAGAGGGGGCAGGTTCAATGGCTTTTGTCAAGTTAACTGGTTGTTGCATTTATAAGCTAATTATGCGCTCGCGACATATTGGCACAAAATTGCAGTAGCCAAGGGCCAAAGCCAAATGCCGAATGCTGAAAGCCGAAAGCGAAGTTCAAACAAATGCAACAATTGGCAACCACAATAAACAAAAGGATACTTGAGAAATTAGTGTGACAAGCGAACAATTTCCACCTGTAGACAGTTAAGGCCGTAACTGTTCTTTGGCCAACATGCAGTTATAGGGTGCTGAACTAACCCTCTTTTTTTTTTTGTTTTTTTTTTTTGTTTTTTAATTTGGGCATAGAAAAAGGTCATTGTCATCGGGGCAGGCAGGTTCAATAAACTGAACAATTTTGCATTTTCAAATAAATAAGCTGAGAGCTCGCAAAGAACCGCAAGAAAGCGCTTAACAACTGAGCAGGATCTGCGGCCAGCCAAAAGCAAGAGCAGGAGCAAGTACCCTACTTTCGTGCAGGACATTGTAGGAGGCAGCAGCAGCAGCAGGAGCAGGAGCAGCAGGAACAGGAGCAGCAGGAACAGGAGCAGCAGTGGCAATGGCCGAGGCAGAGGTCCTGCTTGTGGCATGTGCCACAAACGAGCCGAGGCACCCTCTCTATCTGCCTCTCTCTTCCCCTCTCTCACTCTCACACCCTCTCTGCTAGCTAAGCTCAGCTTTTGCCTCTGCGCTTCGGGCACTTGCGTTGGCTCGTGTCATCTGTTGAATTATAAAATATGGCAAAGGAATTAATTTGGCCAGCTTGCGAACCGAGTCCGAATCTGGCACAGCAGCAGTCGCAGCAGTGGAGCTCTTAGGATAACGCCTAAGGACCCCTACCAATCGTTCCATCTACCGCTATGCTCTGACTGCAACTTCTTTTGCTTATCTCTGCGCACCTGTCGCTGCTCGATCTGCAGACAAAATGAAAAGGTGCGCTTAAATTCTTATAATGACTCGGACAGAGCGCAGACGCGCAGTCAGAACTTCTCCGTTCTCTGTCTGTCTGTCTCTGTGTGTGTGTGTGTGTGTGTGTGTGTTGCATCTTCTTGCCGCAATTTGTTGTCCTTTTGTTTGCCGCTTGCCGTCTGTTGCCTCCCAAATCTGTCTATAATCTGTGTTTAGGCCATGCACATTGATTTCAGCTCAACATCAGACAAAACACCTTGTGCGTGCCTTCAAAATGCACGTTTCTGGTTTCTGCTCTTGTGCCCATTGATCAAGTGCTTATGAGGGTATATTGGTTTTGTGGAAGGATGTGTTAAGGGTGAATGAAAGGCGGGATGGATGATAAAAAGTCCATGTGTACTTGATACTTCTTCAAGTGATTCTAAAACCAAGCCTAGTCGATCGAGTTGTGCCCATCTAATTGTCTCTCCGTCCGTCTATACTAAACGAACTCGTAAATTACAGAATTGAGAGAACTGAAAATGATATTATATATTCTTAAATGCCATGGCAATAAAAGTTATTCATATTTGTTCGACAACTCACTCCCTTTGCTTTTTGTCAACAAATATAGTAAAATGTATTTGATATTTGAGATTGATTTCAAGCAATGAAGCATTGGGTTACCAAGCTTATTATTATTATTATTATTATTTTTATATATAGTAATAAATAAACAGAATATGAATGTATAAGATTTTTGATTTATTTATATTTTATTTTTATTATTAATATTTTTTTTTAAATTTATTTTATATTAATGTACATATACTTTAAATATATTAGATTTTAAAATCAATTTATTTTTTCTAATTTAATTTTTTTTTTATAAAAATTTATTTCATATTCCGTGAAAATTGCATAAAAATCCCACAACAAGGAGTTAACTAAATAAATAATAAAGAAATACCCCTAGGGCGAGAAGAAGAAGCGAAGCAAGTGATATCAATGTGTTGTGTATGTGTATATATAAATCTGTAGGGTAACATGTAATCTTTGCCGGTAGTGCGCTCTGCTCAGCATTCAGTTAGGGTATTTACAAGCCATGCACTCTCGCCTCTCTCAATCGGACTTGTTTTTGTTGTTGTTGCACTCTTGGGTCTTCTCCTTCAGCTTCTTCTTGCTGCTCTTCGGCTGTGCACCTTTCTCGGGGGCCGTTTTGGCTGTGGCACATGGCAAAATCCGAACCATTTTGTGTGTTTAGATTTTGTCATTTTAATTGCTGGCTCGGGCTTTTGACTCTTCGACTTTTTGCACCCTGCCAGCTAAGCTGAGCTGATTGGCTCATTGTCTGCGGGTTGTTTTTGCTTTTTGTTTTTGTTGTTTTCTGTTTGTTATTCCGTGGCTCTTGTTGCCAATTAAGCTGTTTAAATAGATTTCACAATCTGCCTTGCCTTATATGCTATGTATATATATATACATGTATGCCCTGCCACTTGACTACCCCACACACATACATATATATTTGTATATATACCATGAACATGTAGTAGGGGTTGCCTATTTGACTTGGATTTGTCATTCATTGCTTTTGCCTTTGTCAATGTTCGCATGCAAATCGAACGAGCTTAAGATTTTCCTAAGTAAGGTAAGGCTAATCTCTGACTAACTGGCTGACTTTCTGACTATTCTGACCGTCTGGCAGCCTGGCACTCTGTTGGCTTCAGATTTGGTCGGCGAACTTGCTAAACTGTTTCCTACTTGCATTTGCCTTAGTAGACTCTAATGTCAAGACAAACAGCTGCAGCTAAGATCTGTGATATTTCTATAGAAATCATTAATTTAATTTAAGAGATTTGTGTTTAAAAAAATATAATATAATATAATACAAGTTAATATTATTATAATACATATATATTAATGTTTGCAACATAAGGCATAATCTAAAGAGATTGAAAATGTTATCTAATTAGGTATTTCCTGCAGATTAGCTTAGGTACATATTCATAGTAGACATATTATTCAGGCATAAATACTATTCATTCATCATTACCATTATAATTCATACATATATAGATATAGTATTGGTTTCAAATACTTCAATATTTTTCATATAATCTGATTACAATTTTAGGCTCGCTTTCAGAATCAATCAGTAATGGAATAATTAAAACGGATACCATGTGCAACATTCACCTGCTTCATTAATACATTTCTCTCTTACACACACATATACACACACATATACACACACACATAGACACACTCACTGCATGTGTCAATCTCTAACAATCAATCCGACATAAATTTCATATGCCCAACTCATGCTGCAGGTGACAATTGTTCTTGAGGGTAAGAGGCAATCATAACTTAACAATTTGAAGCGAGGAAAACCCATAAAAAACGAAGATCGAATAATATAAATGAGAGCAACAGCAGCAGCAGCAAGGAGCAAGGAGCCGGGAGCAGGACGCTGGCTCTAGCTGAGGCTGCGGCTTAAACTGAGGCTGAGGTTCAGGCTGTCGGCCTAAAAGGTCCCCTCGAAATTGGGTCATTTTGGCTGCTTGTAATATCGATGAGCGTGACAGGTGCAGGCGCACTTACAGCACTTGTTGTTGTTCCTCTTGTTGTTGCTGTTGTTGTTGGTTTGTGCACCTTCCATTGGTTTTTGTTTTTGTTTCATCTTTTTGCATGCGTCAGCTTGCGGCACACTCCCTCAAGGTGCACGGGGCCTAGATTAGACGAAGATTGCAGTCTGGCTGCTTTGTGGTTGACTCGAGAGATTTTTATGACTGCTGTTCGGCTGTTCGGCTGCTCGGCTGGCGTGTGGCCCACATGCCAATTGGACCGGTACAGGTTGCTGCCTCTGCCACTGCTGTTGCTGCTGTTGCTGTTGTAATTTGCCTCGACGGCAAGCCTGGCATATGTTTGCTGTAAACCGGCTCTGAGCACGCGTCTCGTCTGGCTCACAATTATTGAGCCAGGACGACGACGACGATGAGGAGGAGCAGGAGCAGGATGAGCAGGAGGAGCTGAATGTTGAGGACGAACGATGACAACGACAGGTTCCAGGATTCAGCAGGTGCTGGCGCGCCACTTGTGCGGCTCAAAAAAGGAATCGGAATCAGCGCTGCTTACAACGAAAGGACATAAACATAAATGAGCCGCTGTAACATTTTGGACTGCCCTTACCTCCTATTCGGCTCCTGCGGCACAGGTGCCTTTTGCCACAGCCCTCGTCGGCCTTTTAATTGTGCCCTCGCTTAGGTTCACCTGCAGCAGCAGCAGCAGCAGCAGCAGCCCTCGACTGCAACTGACCTAAGACATCTTTTTTTCATGTGATGGCCTCCACGTCTTCACGTCAGTCTCTCGCTCTCTCTCTCTCTCTCTCTCTCTCTCTTTGTCTGTGTAGATCCTCGCTCGACTGGCTCACCTTTTTTTTTTTTACTTTTTTAGCCGCAACTATTATTTTTATTAATAGCCAAAGTCGAAGTCGCAGCCGAAGTCAATGTGGAAGTCACCTGCCCGGCACCTTTGGCTAGGGGTAGCCGGAAAACGGATATGTTGCGGGCCTAGATCACTTCAAGGCACTTCTAAGATGATTTTCCCCTTCTTTATTTCAATTTGGGGTTGCAGCTTTTCTTTTTTTTCTTCTCTCATTTTTACATTTCTTTCTTTTCTGTTTTCATGGGGGCTTGTCGTCTATTTGTATTTGAATGCTGTACAAATTCAAATGCCATGACAAATTATGTGGGCTCAGGTGTTAACGGCTTGGGGGTTAATAAACCTGAAGCCAACATATGGCAGAGACAATCGCAACTTTATCAGCCTTAGCTCGAGCTATGCAACGGGTTTGTTTTATAGAGGTTTTGTTTGCTTCTTGAGAGGGTTTGTAACGGTGCAAGAAAATGTTTTTTGGAAATCGACAAAAATTTTTGTTTGAGTTGAATTTATTTTCTAAATAGTTTAACTATATTTTAATAAGTACCTGTTTATAATAAACATCTGTATATATTTTCCTGTAATTTCTTACAGTTCTGCTCACTGAGGCTCTTGATATATCTAATATATAATATCAAATAAAGAAATGCATTTATTTTTTTTAGAGTTGAGACTATTTACAAAATCGTCCATTTTATTTTCTTATCAACAAAGTATTTATTTTAATATATTTTTTATGAACTTTATTTACTTAAACTAAATTTTTTAAAACTAAACTTTTTCTAATTTCTGTCAGCTTTGTATTTGCTCTGACAGTCTGTTATATCTGTGCTTATTTTCACGTAGAAAGACTTCTTCTTCTTTAAAACATTTGGAAAGTCTTACCCTCATTTCAGCTCTTCCTAATATTTATATAACTCTTAAGCATATTTCTGTCTTTGAATTTGTTTGTTAGTTAGACTGCCACACTTCATGATATACTGAACCTTGTTTAACGACACGCGCTTTATATATTGTTTAAACTTATTGTCTCAGAGAATTTAGAGCTTCAACTACATTAAAAAATTGTAAATATTTGTTAATTTATTTAACATTTCTCTATTATAAAATAAATATTAGACTGTCTCAATGCAAGTTAAACCTGTAAAGATCTCTGAACTCTTGCGCTAAACTCTCTTCAAGTTTTTTTTGTTATCTATTATTATTCATTATTTATTATTTATAATTTATTATATATTATTATTTATTTTATATATACATACATATCAAAAGTTAAAAAAGAAAACTTTTTGAATTCCTGATTTTTCTGTCTGTTTTTGAGACTATATAAAGCCCATTCTCTATCACATATTCATATAATTCCTATTTTACCTCACAGTACTTTTATTTTAATCAACTTTCTGCTATATATTCTAATATGAAATTTCTCTTAACATGGCCAATATCTCTGGGCTTACATTATGAAATACTTGAGCTAGTGGAGCAAAGTCTCGCTGCGTCTCATCTGCAATTTATCGCTTTGTCGGCACTTGCCCCAAGGTCCTTGGGCTGCATTCTTATTGTTGTTGCTGATGTTGTTGTTGTTGCTGCTGCTGTTTTGTTGCAGCCGTCAATGCAATTGAACTGCATATTTTCGATCGCTGTTCTCATTTTTTTTTTTTTTAATTTTATTTTTATTTATTTTTTTTTGCTTGGCCAATATTTTGTCAATTTTCGATCAATTTGTTGCATGCCACAAGGCACAAGTGGCGAAGCGACGCACAAAGTGAAATCCTTGCCAAATGCTCGCTGATTTTGATTGCGAGCACCAGATGAATGGCGATAATGAGAGTGGGGACCCCAAGCCGCAGTCGGTGATTTGTAAACTGCCAAACTTCATTTCGGGCGTTTTAAAGTGCCGCAAAATGCATTGACATTCGCTTTACGGCTGGCAATTGCACCGATCACTGATCGTCGATGATCGCTCCCGATCTCCCTCACTGCCCCTGCCTCTGCCTTTGCCATTACCTAAAGTCAACTCTCGGGCGCAATTAGCTGGAACTTCGAACACTTATTGGCGTTTTGCCATGCCCGATCGTCGCCCGATCGCCTCCAGATCGTCTGGTCTCTTTTCCAGAATGGAAAATGCTGCCGCTGCTGCTGCTGCTTGTAATGCGGCGTTTTACAAAGCTCATTCCTAGCATACCACAATGAGCGGAGATCAAAGATCACCGCGTCACCCGAAAACAGGAGCAGCTCTCAGTCCCAAAGTCCCTCACTCCCAATTGAAGACGTGCAAAAATTTAACTATAAAATCAGGTTTTTCGTCTGCCCACAAAACACACACACACACACAGCAAAAAAAAACATATTTGGAGCATTTTTGGACAATTTGTAACAAAATGTTGCCTCATCAATTCAGCTGCTCAGAGAGTTCGTCCTTGATACAAATGTATTTAACACTAATAGAGACAAGCAAATTTATAGATCAGCAAATATTTGTGCCACTGAAGGACGCTTGAGCTGCAACCCCTAAAGACTGGGCTGCTTAAATTGCTGCAGAACATTTCAGGAATTTCATCAGCTCCGCAGAGGAATTTTTATTAAACAGCTAAGGATCTGCTGAACTGTAAATAGCCTTTAATGTATATTTTATTTTATATGTATATTTGTATATATATTTTTTATTGAAATATTTTTATCTATGGCATATATTCAGTATAAAGTCTGCTTTAGTGTAATGATAAATAAAAACTGAATAATGTTAAACAATAATTCCGTACAGAAAAATTATACATCAGCGCTAGATTGTTCTACAAAAAATTAAGGCCTACTTTCTATTGATGAAATTTTAATTTTTCTACAAAAGAATGAAACTTAGCTTAGAATGAACTGAAACAAAGTTTTAGATGTCCATTAAAAAAAGGAGTCATTGATTTTTAGAAAATATTTAAAAATTATAAATATAATATTATAAATTAAAAAAAGTCTCAGCTATTTAATTGAACTCAAAAAAAAAAATATATATACAAAATTTACAAAAACGAAAAGTTTAAGATGCTTTATTTAGGTTAAGAGTTTTAGCTAATACTGAATGCTGAAAAATCTCTTAATGAAGTGAGAGTCATTCAAGAAGAGTTTTTAAAAGATGTAGAAGACGCCTTTAGCTATTTAGGAAAATGTTTTGTTAAAGGAAAAATCCTTTGCGGTTCTTCAAAATATTCAAAGCCCTCAAAATGAATTCATCATAATATTCACCTCAATCAAACATACAATACAAATGGTTTACCATAAACAGTTTCCAAATAATTGTCACACATATTTAAGGTTCTTTAGCTTTCAACTTTATTTTCGCCAAAAAATTACAATTAAACATAACTAAATACAAAATGAAAATGGTTTTTATAAATTAAAGAGAATTGTCATAGGAAAACTTAAACGCTAATACAATCATATAAATAAATCAGGTTCTCAAAGGAGCTTAAATAATTTAAGTAAATATAAATATAGTGTAAATAAAACAAGAAATTTGTCAGTTTACATTACAATAATAATAATAATAATAATAATAATAATAATAATAATGACGCTTTATGCCAATTGTGGTTGTTGTTGTTGTTGTTGGGATCTTTGGTACTTTTAGCTGCGTTTTCTTTGCCAATTTTGGATTTGGTATTTAGGGTAAAAAAAAAATAAACAAATTCAAAAGATGTATAAAACATTAACTATGAAATAAATTATGTTAGCTTAGATCTAAATAATATTTATTTACTTATAAATAAATATGCTTAAAGAGCTAATTTGAAAAGTCTTTCTTTTTTTTTTTTTTTTTGGGCGTATTTACAGAGCTTAGATATAAGATTGAGCAGAGATTAACTTAGCTAGTAACTAGTGCGCGAGAAATACACTTTCCTTTCGCTTAACAATATATTTAAATATGTTAATATTTTTTTTTATGTTTTTTTAAATTTTCTTTTCGGTTGCCTAAACAAAACAAACTTTGGCTTCATAGCAACGACTTAGACGACTTTGCATTTGCAGGCATGCCAACTTGGTGGTAACTGGTATTCTTAGCTTAAAATCCACTGGATTCGATTGGTGTCTCATCTTTCGATATGTACATAAATGTATATGGAATACATATATATATATATGTATGGATATTTGTTATTTATTATTTACATTATATATATTTATAGCTGCTGGGGCCTAGCAGCTGCTGCTGCTAACCTCCATTTTGATGGGCATTGAGGGCGCCTCCTCGTGCCGGCTCTCCCGATGACGCCGCAGATCCACCTTGCGCTGGAAGGACTGATCGCAGAGGCCGCAGCCGAAGGGCTTGTAGCCCGTGTGTTTGCGCATGTGCGTGATCAGATTGGAGCTCTGGCTGAAGGCCTTCAGGCAGACGGTGCACTTGTGTGGCTTCTCACCTGCGCAAATCAATAAAAAACAATTATTGTAATGAAAGCAAATTTATAAAATGAGAGAGAGAGAGACAGGGGAAGCAAAAGAGAGAGAGAGAGAGGGGTAGGTGTTTATTAATTGTGTAACTTTATTATATTTTGAGCAATTAGACAAATTGAAAGCTGATAAACATCGACGAACGTTTGCCGATTTTAATGGACTTGACTGCGACTCTACGAGGGTGGCTCAAATCACACATTAGGGTGGACATGCATGCAAAGAGCTGTCAAGTCAGTGCTGTTTAAGTTCGTTTATACGTTTGACATATTTGCAGAGCATTTATAGGGTTTATATATAGCGAAAAGAGAGAGAGAGAGAGAGAGAGGGAGGGAGAGAGGGAGAGAGAGAGAGAGAGAGGGGAGGGAGAGAGGGAGAGATAGAGAAGGAGTTATTATGCATTTTTATTGCATGTGAAATTGAAAAGAATTTGGAATATTATATGAATTTATTGAGGACTTCTTATGAGATATATTAATATACATAGATAGCTATAGCTATATATAGAGCAGCCCTTTCTCTCTTAATTTTTAGCACATGCCAAAGTTTAACTCATGTGGGTCAACAGCTCACAAACAGAGCCTGCTTATCACATATGCTAATATCAGAAAGAGCTAGATATGGAAAGAGAAGATGTATAGAAAGAGAGAGATGGAAAGAGGGAGACATTTAGAGAGCGTGAAACTTACCCGTATGTATGTACGTGTGCTTCTTCATATCGGACTTCTGATGGAATCGCTTGCCGCAGTACTGGCAGGGATATGGCCGCGTGTCGCTGTGTATTAGCAGATGTGTGGATAGTGTTGAGGAGCGCTTAAATGATTTGCCGCACTGTTTACACTGCAAGAAAAACAATGCCGAATTGGAGCAGGCTATAGTAAATAATTGAAATAATGAGATGTCTTATTTGAACAGCCTGATGGCGGCAAATAAAATCTCAAACAGAATAATAATGTGTGTGCCAAATACTTATGAATTAAACTAGATTTGTGAGTGGGCAAATATTTGGCAACAGGTGCCTCGAAATAGGGTAAAACCCACAGACACAGCTAGACAATATGGCTGACTGGCAGGCGAAGGGAGGGGCGACAGATAGAGAGCGCGGAAGGCGTGGCAGCCTTATCATAATACTTTTTGCGTTTATTTTTATGAAACAGCTAAGCAAATAGCCGCAGCAGCAGCTCAGCTACGACTCAATGTTAAATCTCAAGTGAAATACATTTCTCCAAGAAAAAGTGTTATTAAGCTATATATATATAATATCTGTATATCATGTTGATATATAGACGTATATGTGCATGTGTGTGTGTTGTTGTAGGCCAAACACAGCTGTGGGGGCATTGGGTATCGAGTATCGAGGACTGGGCAACGGGCCTGCTCTGCGCCTCGTAACATCTTCGCATCGAGCAGATTAAATGTTTGCACAGTTTGTCTGGCTGCAACATGCAACAGTATCTAAACATTGTCGCTCCCGTATTGACACAACTCAATCCCATTCCCAACCACCTCGGCTACGTGTGTGACATTTATAAGAAAAAACAAAGTGAGAGAAAAAAAAAAAAAAAAAACGAAACAAAACAAAAATATTATTAATAATGAGAAAAACCTTTCGAAAACCTACGCATACTGTCAATTGACACAAGTGCTACACAACTGCTCCAAAACAAGAAGCAAAAAGAGAAGAAGAAATATCACAAATTATTTTACGTTTTCACTGTGCTTTCTGGATTTTCTATTTGTGGATTGCATTTGAGCTGTATCCATGCCTAGACAGAGCCCCAATTAGTTGGCCCATTGTTGCGGCCCCAGTCTGAGCCATAATGTCAATTTGCTCAGCTCGAAAACGTAGCGGAAGTTGGCAAAACTCTCGCGTAGAAACCCCAAATACATGACTCAGCCGCAGACTCAGCCTCAGCCGCAGACTCAGCCTCAGCCGCTTGGAGTCCGAGTCAAGTCAAGTCGAGTCGAGTCTGGCCGGGTGGGCCAGCAGCAGATGTAAAGACTTACAAAAAAAAAAGCGGGGCCAAGAAAAAATATGACTGCGCCTGCGTCCAGGACTCGCGCAACTGTTTCGACCATATGTCTGGAAACCCTTTTAGCTCGGCTATCGCATTTCACATGCTCTCCCTTTCATTCTCTCCCTCTCTCTATCCCACGTTGCTCTGGCGAATGTGTGAAAACGTAGCTGGCAGTCGCGGGTGTTGAAATGCCTTTGATAAAAACATAAACTGACAGCGGGGGTAGTCAGAGCATGACCATACCCCGACCATGCCCTGGACACCGACCCTACGCAGCTCATATGACATACCTTGGTCGTGTGCCCCGGTGCTTAATGTGGCAAAAAATGCATGTGCTTACGAGAGCCCTTGAACAAAACGACAATTATGATTGAGCCCAAAACATTGAAGGCGTCATTTCAATGCATAAATCTTCCAAAGGGCCTCCGACCTTACAGGGAGAAGGAAGGGTTCACTGCTCCAGCCCATTCGGAATATAATCAAAATTATTTGATTAACTAATTGCGTGATTTCGATTGTGCCTAATTGAATTTCCATAGAAGAGTTCGAATGTAAATGCAAACAGTTTGTGTTCTTTATGACATGATATTGTGCTGCGCCACTTTCCCAAATTGAATTGGGTGGACAAACTGTGGGCAGAGCAATTAAAACGCGACAGGAACCTCGAAAATATGAAACAATTAACACGGGTAAATTGAGAGAGAGAGAACGAAAGAGAGTGAGAGCGGGAGGGAGGCAGGTACTGCGAGGGGGAGTTAGACACGCAATGCAAGCGATATAGCCAGATATATGCTGAAGACTTATGCACTGAGTTTACGATATGAAAGGGAAATTGAAAAAGGGCTTCTATCTCGACCCCCAGCTGATGTCACGTGATTGGGTCATTAGCAGCAAGGACAAGGCTTTGACAGTCTGCAGATTATGATTTAGTTTTCATAGATTTATGGCAGATACTTCAGATAACTAAGTATAGAAAATCCATTTTAGATTTCTGGCAGATACCTCAGATAGGAGTTTGCTATTAATAAATATAGAAATGCTCCACTCTGCCTCTGCCACTCTCTCTCTATCTGTCTCTCTTTCTCCTTCTCCTCTCTCTCAGTCTCAGCCTCTTGCACTTCCGCTTTTAACTCTGATTCGATTTTGACCAACGACAAGAAAAAAGAGTGGATCAAATGAACTTCCCGTCTGGCTTACCTGAAAATTTCTGCCGGTGCGCTTCTCCTGCTCGCACTCGCCTTGATACGATGATGAGGAGGACGAACGACGCGCAACATCTGTGGCCGTTGAGTCAGGATGTTGCTGCTGCTGCTGGTGCTGCTGCTGCAACTGTTGGTGCTGCTGCTGCTGCTGCTGGGTCGTGTGTTGCTGCTGGTGTTGATTACGCATGTAGCCCAGTTCGGCGGCAGCCACAAGACCCATGAGTGCTGCTGCCGAACGTTTGCTCTCCTGCTCAGCCTCCGACTCGGCTTTAACCTGCTGCTGCTGCTGTTGTTGTTGCTGCTGCTGCTGATGTTGCTGCTGTTGCTGCTGCTGTGTCTTGAGGTGCTGTGTGAACAGCTCCAGATTGTTGCCAGTCAGGCCGGCCATGAAAGCGCTGCGATGTGCGTACAGCTGCTGCTGCGCCGTCTCAAAGTCCAGATCCTGTGCGACACTCGTCGAGGACAGCGGCGACTGCAGCGACTGCATTGACGATATGGAGGCAGCCGAGCGACGTTCGTACTTGAACTTGCGCACTATGGGATCCACTTGCTGCTCCTCAAAGTCTTCACTAGCAGCAGCTGCTGCTGCTACTCCTGCTGCTGCAGCCTCATGCCGCGAGGAGCGCTCGCACATGGATGCCGGCGACCAGATGATGTTGCCCTGCGAGCGACGCTGCTGCGAGGGAGTCCCAGCATTGGCAGTCTTCAGATTGACAGCCCTCAAAGGAGGCGGCGTGGTCAGATGCAGTGGCTGCTCCCGCTCATCCAGGCTGAGGCTGCCGCCGCTCAGGCTGCTGCTGCGGCTGCTGCTGCTACTGCTGCTGCTGCTATTGTGATCGTGATCCTGCTCCGAGTCGGATCTGGCGCGTTGTTTGGTGCTCAAGTTGAGCGGCATGTCCTCGTCCTGCTGCAGCTGCACATGATTGCTGCGGCTGCTGTTGTGCTGCAGCTCTTGCTCCTTTTCGGGCGTCAGTGCAAAGTCGCGATCGCGCTGCCCCAGTACAATGGAGGCGGGCGACTTAGGAGTCATTGGCGTGAGGGGCGTGCCCAGAGCCGAAGCCGACGACAGCAGAAACTGCGGCCAAAGCAGAGCGCTCGAGTAGAGCAGCGGATTGTAGAGAAAGGGCAGATCTACATGGGAGCATTCGATATATAGAAATTGACAATTAGATATAGAGATACATAGAAGGAAATATATGAATAAAAATGCCTGATAATATTCAATATCAATGAGATTTCCTGATCAACATTTGATTAGCTATATTTTGAATGAATTTTAAATTCAATGATTATGGAAGCAGTTGAAGTGATATTAACTTGACTTAATATACATAATGCATATATTTTATAAAGGTCTTTTAAATATATATATTTGTATATATTAGAATATATTTTTAAAAAAATTAAATGTTTTAGAATATATTTAATATATATCATTTTCAATACATAGAATATATTAATAATTTATATTTACTTATTTGGCAATTCTTAAAAAATTTAATAATGATGAAAATTATGAGAGCTATTTTCAAATATAATGGGAATTATAAGATTTGCAATAATAGTAGCTTTGAAGCTCTGATCAAAATGGATCATTGAACAAGAAATTCTTCAAGAAATTCTTATTAATTAAATGATTTGCTTCTATTCTCTTTATTCTTTCTCTGAGCTTGTTTAAGCATTAAACAACATTTTATTTGGACACTATTTTGTATTAGATATTTTAAAATTTTCATTTTACTTTGTGGAAATATTTTAAATATAAATAATATATATATTTTCAGTTTTTGAACCTTAATAAGGACTTTTTTTATTTTATTTGCAGATTACTAGACTATTTCCTCCATATACATATATATCAAGCGCTTACTTAATGCTCATCTTTGAGGCTATATCCCTTAAATATTTCAGACCTTCATAAAGTCTTTTCTGCTCAGCTTTTCTATTTGGCTGATCTTCAGGGAATTTCTGAGATATTCTATACACTAATTCATCAAGGCTCAATTGGACCTCACTTTAAAGTTCTCTCACATCTGCCATAGATCATATATTTCTTCGATCTACTCACCTCGATTGTTTAGTTTTTGTGCGGCAGCCGATGCTATAACCGTATTGAAGGCCGAGGCGCGCTGCATCCATTGCTTGTCCAGAGTTGGACCCGCGTAGCCCGCTGGACTTGGCTGCGAGTGCGGCGATGGCGGCGGCGACAAATGATTCATTTTGTTGGCCTTAAGCACTGGCTCTTATTGGCTTTTAATTTGTACTTTTTTGGTTTAGCACTTTCCGCAAATACACTTGGCTAAGTTAAATTTGGCCAATATAATTTTCGATTTCTTTTTTTCGTTTAGTTTATTTCAACTAAAGCTTGACAACAATTTGAAGACGAGACACGAACACAAAGATCGCTGGAATTTCTCAAATTATTTACTAACTTTTCTTTAACTTTAGCTTTACTTTGTTTTTTATGTATATTTTTCTTAAATTTTTTGGTAACAGATCTTTGTGTATGGAAAGCTGGTTCGCTTGTGAGACGCACACGTCTGTATCGCTCGGTGCTTCGCACCTGACTGAATCTTTGGCCGATTGTGCGGTTCTAAATTGAGCCAACGGTGAAGCGAGTGCCAGGCCGACTTGGCCCGAAAATCGAGGCTCGAGCCGTGTATGTGTGTGTGCATAAGTATGAGTGTGTGTGTAAGCCGAATCAAAACGAACCCTCGTTGCATTCGTATTGGTGTTGACTTTAGTGGTGGCTCTTGAGCCCTTTATGTTTGCCTCTTTGTGTGTGTTTGAGTGTATGTGTGTGTGTGTGTGTGTGTGTGTGTGTGTTGCCAACTCTGGTTTTTCAACTTTGGCAGCAGTTGGCAGCCGCTGCTGTTGCTGTTGCTCTTGTTGTTGCTGTTGTTGTTGCTGTTGTCCTGCATGTTGTAAGGGTCAAGACACACAGTTACGCAGCGCCAGGGCCCGCGCCGCCTGTTCTCCTCTCTATCAGTTGCTTTGATCGTGCGCAGCTCAAATTGTTGTTGTTGTCGCTGCTGCTGTTGTTGTTGTTTTTGTTGGCAGCACGCGTTTCTCAACTAATTGGTATGCAGTTAAAGTTTGGCGGGCGTTTGCTGCATTGTTGCTCTGCGCTGCCCTCGCCGCGCTGCTCATTTCGTATTGTAACTGTTACAGTTGTTATTGCTGCAGTTGTTGCTGTTTCAGTTGCAGTTGCTATTGCTGTTGGCACAACTGACACCAACTGTTGTCCAGCCCGAAGATTATGCTTGTCACTGACTCAGCTGAAGTACAGGCGCGTGTGAGCAACTCCAAAGGATACTCGAGGGTTGAGCGTTAAGCAAACTGTGATCTAAATGATCTGACTGATCCCAGAGTGTGAGAAGTTTGTACTCTTTAAACAGATATGTAGCCGGATTATTGGCTAAGCATATGTAAGCAGCTTATAATTTGGAATTGAAACTGTTAATGTAAATAATATTGGAGAAAAAATGATTGAGCAGGCAGCTTCAGAATTTCTTTTTTTAATGTATAAAATACCTAAATTATTATTAATAAAAAGAAAAAAAAAAATTAAAAACACATTTTTGACCTATGTAAATCAAGCATTGAAGTATGAGAAAATATTATTATGAAAAGATTTTCTTAACATTCCATTTAGCAAAATGGACAATTATTTAGTCAATTCGTTATTTTTTTAATATTGATTCTGCACATTATTTTAGACAAATGGGAAAATTAAATTTTTTAATTTCGTATTTTATATTATTATTTTTTTTTTTTACATATTTTTTTTTATTTTAAAGCTTCTATATAATGAAAATTAATTTAAAGCCGAAGCTGATTCTGAGTAGACATACCATTTATTTCATTGTATATCTTAATTATAAATTATATAATATTTCCAAGCTGTTTGTTAAAATATTTATATATTGACTTATATAATTACTTTTACTTAAATGAAAAACAAAAAAATTAAAAACAATACATATGAATATTTATAAATTTGATATGATATACATATACAATTTTCTTATTGTGAATCAAAAGAAAACTAAGATTGTTGCTTATTTATATTGTTATATATTATTTCCGCTCTTGTCTTAAATTTTTCATATATTATTTTTTCAGCAAAGAATTTCTTCTTCTTTCAATATCTCTATGGCTAACTCCTGCGGCTTGAGCGTATGATAAAGATGTAGCTTGCTTAGCCTAAGTATTTTTGCTCATATTAAAGCTTATTAATTTTCTTATAATTCCATATATATTTCGATTCAGAGAGCAACTCTGCTGCAACATTTAAAAACAGTTTGGCACTTATCGAAAATTGTAAAGCAATTAAAAATCATGGTTCATCACCTGCCGCTGCGGCTGCGGCTACATTCTTCGCCTTTAGATGCACCTTTCCACATAGTTTACAATTTTTTCTTAGTCGCTCGTCCTGAACGTTGTGCCCTTCCTATTCTCTGCTCTTTCTCTCTCTGCTAGCTCATCCTTGCTCGCTTGGTCGCCTCTGCTGCTGCTGCTGTTGCTGTTGCCGCTGCTTAGTTATTTCCAGTTTATGGCGCTGTGGCCCACACACCTGCCTAGGTTACGCCTGACAAGAAAACGCGGGCACACTTCGAGCAACTGGCAACAGCATTTAACGATCCTGTTCCGATCAGTTCCTTCCTTCTTGTCGTTTGGCGCAATTTCCTCGGACGCCTTTGCATGCATTTAAAGGACATGTGCACGCCATTACAACAGTTAACTGAAGATCGGGAGACACCCCCGAGGACATTCCAAGACACGAGCGTGCCACAAGCCGCAATAGCTCAAGCGAAGCATGCCATAGACACATGCCTGAGACCCCATATATGGGCTATATAGCTCTATACCTATAGTCAGCGCTATATCAGCCCCGATAGTCATTCTTTATTGTAGCTACGATGAGGGCTGTTGGTTGGCTGCTTGGCTGGCTGGTTGGCTGGCAGATCGCCCTCGATGCGCTTCAGAGCGCGAGGGTTCGCATCGAGGGTTAGCGGTAGCCGCAACCGCCTGGCTTTTTGTAACGGATTCACCTTATGCCAGACGCGTGCCCATCCATCATCGTTTGATATGCGCAGTCGCAAGCGGCACAGGTAACAACAACAGCAACAACAACAACAACAACAACAACGATAATAGAACAGCTAGAGCAACTGTGTAAATCGCATAGCGTTTTCCATTTTCCATTTTCTATTACTCTTTCCATTTTTATCGGCCCCATTTATGACTACGACACATTCCCAGTTACACCCTCAGCTTTGTTTGCATTGCATTCTCCTCCCTCTCCCTCTCGCTCACCTTCTCTTTGGCTCTTTGCCAAACAAAAACAAATCCCACGTTGGCTTCTGTTTCTGCTGTTTCGCTGCGCCGAATGCCTTTACACTTGGTCGCTTGGCTCGTGGCGCAGCGCAGTGCTCGTCGCTGATTGGCCGAGCTCACCGATGGGCGTCGACTGCGCGTGCTGCTCACCCCGCTGCCAGGGCAAGCAAGCAAACAAACGGGTTTGTCACTGTGTGCTGTCCGTGTGCAGCGCTGTCGGGCTCTCTTGTATGCCTCTTACAGCTTGCTGCGTGGTGAAGTTGAGTTGCCGAGCTTAGCCAAAACCGTTAGTTCAATTGTATTTGATTTGTGTGTGTAGGTGTGTGTGTGTGTGTGTCTGCATAGAAAGCACCAATTGGCTGTCTGAATTTTAACTGTCTGTAATAAGAATTCTGTGAGCTTTCTGATTTGCTTTGACTGTTGCTTTGGTTGACAGCTTAATATATAATAAAATTAAAATCTGAAATTAAATTGAAAATTGTCTAAATATATCAAATACTCAATTTAAGTCTTAGACTTCTGTTTTTACATAACTAGCTAAATTTAAAAAATAATTAGACCCATTTTAGCTGACTTTTGAGTATCACAATATATGGAAATAGATAATAAATCAATTTAAAATTAGCGTAAAAATTAAAAAATAATAATAATAATGAAAAATAATTATTACAATATTATATTTTTAGTTTCATAACATTTTAAATTACAGAGAATATAGTTAAAATATCAAATATTATGCGGACTACAGTAAAACAAAAAGTATATTCTCATTTCATATTTAAAAAGAATTTAGTAATTAAATATTTTATGAAAATAAATATTTTATGAAAATAAATACTCTTCGAATATATGATGCATTTCTTTTTTAATTTTTATTTATAATTATTACAATAGTAGTTATAAAAATATTTTTTTTTTAATAATCTTTTTAATCTCACAGACTTAAAATATTTAGAAATTACACTTTCCTTTCAGACATTTCATCAACAGTATTAAAAACATAGGCATTTAATTATAAAATTATTAGAATAGTATTTCTTTACAATTGTAAATATATTTTTAAGGATATACTTTTTAAAATCACCAGTTGCAGTTTTCCTTTGACAGTCAATTCGAGCCTTTGCAATTCCCTTCTAGGCTTCTGTTCTACGCACCGGCAATCTTCACTGATTTATCGCACAATCTGCCGTCATCTTTTAAGTGGGCAACCATTTAAGTGTATTCTATTTGTCTCACAGTGGGTGCTAGCAGTTGGCTGCATACAACGAAAATTCTTAACAACAAATCAGACGGAAATCTGTAATAAATTTATTATTATGTAGATGTGCGCCCGGACTAACAAATGCGGAAAGCTAAAAGGCAACAACAGCAACAACAGCAACAACAACAACAACAACAACAACAACAGCTGCAAGCAGAAGGCGCTGGCTACTGGTTATGAGCACGACGAGCAGGAGAAGGAACACGGCCCGAACTAAATGGATGCTGCTGCTGTTGTTGTTGCTCTTTGCGGTTTGCTCAGGCAGCAGTCGGTTCATATCGTGCAGATTGTTGGCAATTATTAAAATGATAATTGCACAAATCTGGCTATCAATTGACGACCATCGAAGACCTTAGACCAAAGCGAGACCAAAAACGAGCGAAAGCCGCAAAACAAAGCAGCCACACAGACGTACATAGATCCAAAACGCATGCGCAGCTCCAGCTCCAGCCCCCAGTCTCAGCTTCAGTTTCAGCTTTGGCTCTGCAGGCAGCCCAAGCCCCAACTACAGCGTGGACCAGGCCTGTTGGTCTCTTTTGCTGCTGCTGCCGCTGCTGCGGCTGTTGGCCTGCGTCTTATCATGTGGCGTTGGTGCGCGGCTTGCAGCATTTTGCAAACGTTGACAATTTGGTATTAATTTAAGACAACAGCAACAAGCCTCCTGGGCAGCCGCAGAGAGCCTTTGGCTAGAGCATGCAGACCCCGACAGTTGTTGCTGGCCACTTGGCCAGAGCCACTAGCAACAAGACGGACATTTACATGCTGCTCCCTCTTTCTACTCGGCTGCGCCCGCTCCCGCACCCGCTGACCAAACAATGAAATCTGCGTAGTTTACTGTTGACCCAAGCTGAGTGGGACAGCCGGGCAGTGTGACCAGCTGCGTTTCGAAATGAAAAGAGGTTTGGCCAACTGTTTAGATTGAATCCAAAGTAGACTAAGACAGCGTCTGTGAGAACTGAGAATGCGTTGGA